AGTAAGGAGAGATGGGTCAGCCCACTCACTCTTACACTGATTCAGGGCAGCAAGACTCAGGTGAACCACACCTACACGGAAGCTTGGGAAGATATTTTTCATACCATACCACACAATGGTGACTTCAGCCCTGTGGCTTAACCTTTCATAGCATCCACGTTCACAGGCAACGTGATACAGATCTTCTCAGTACTGTTCATGAAAGCGGGGAGATTTTGTAATTGTGATTTTAATGGATAATGGGCATTCAGTTCTGAATAAGTCCTTGGGGGTCGAAAGAAGACAAATCCAGAGCAATAAAACAAAAACGTGGGCAGCAAATGTGTGTGTGTGTGTGCGCGTTCCAGGAGGGCTAAACAGAACCCCCATCTCTACTCATTTCTCTAATACTAAAGCAGAACTCAAGGCTGTGTTAATCTGACTCTCACCTCTGCACGCACCCTGTGTCACACAGCTGCATTCTCACTTTACATGCATGCAAAGGCTTTTCTGGTCTATGTAGCCTATAAATTTCTGACAATTGGCTAACATAACGAAAAAGGGGGGGGGGAAAGGCAACAAAAACCACCTATTTCTTAAGCGAATGGTTCAGTCTTACCTTCCCCTCCTGCTCCTCAAACACAGACTGGTCCACATTGCAAGCAAATAGGGAGGTGGGCAGATCGTTGAAGTCGGTGATGTGGTGGAGTCCGTCGTCCAGCAACGGGTCTCCAATAGAGTTCTGCAGGACAAGCAGCTCCTCTCCACCCAGGAGATAAAAGTGTTGGTAGAACGCGGTGTTTCTCATCTTGGGGAACAAATGCTCTCCTTTCATGACTGAAAAGCACAAGTAGAAAAAAAGTATCTCAGACATCTTGAGGGACTTAGAGAGCTTCTCGTGACAAGTTATCAATCCTCTATTCTTCTGGAGTCAATAACAAGGCATGAATTTGAGTTTCGGGCCGTGGGAGGTTAAATCACACAAATTTAGCCAGTTTAGCACTCTGCGGGGTCTGCCCCATCCCTCTCTGCTTTCTTTATCTGATTTTTTGTCCTCAAGCTGCTTGCTTCCTTATGAGACCCCATCGATGTTTTCATGATTTTATGAGATGGGGGGGGCGTGCTCAGAAGAGAGAGTCAGATGAGCAGGGTTTGGTGTGCTAACTTAGCCTGTTTCTCAGTCCCTCTGATGTGTACAAACTGATGTGTTCTGCAGCCACGCTCTGCACAGCCCTGAAAGCAGCTCCCACATATCGATCCGGGCTCTCATGTCCTGCCTATCCCCCATCTGTTTGCCTTTCTGTGTCCCCAACTCCACCTCTGCCAAAAACCCCTTTGTTTCCATCATTAAAGTTCCCAGCTCCAGGCCCAGCCTCATGTTCAGATGTCATTCTGTTTGCCATCCTGACTGGAGACCATTTCACTGGTTGCCCATAATGCAGCAGTGGCTGTCCCGTACAGTGCCTGATTTTAAAAACAGTGCCCCCAAGCAAATGTCAGCAGTGAATGATTGCCCTTACACGAATTAGATCCTTTAAGGATGGGGGGGCTTGGGAGGCCCACTTACTGTCCTGTCCCAATCCAGACATGGCCACTTCCTCTCCGAGCAACGCCATCAAGTCCATCAAAGCCTAACCCTAACCCTGACGGGGCGTGTCCACCAGTAGGGTGTCACTTTTATTAGCATTTCGTCTACTGCTTGAGATACCAGAAATTATTTTGGGATCAATGACCCATTCCATCCCTCCCCCCCCAACACACACACACACAAGCATGTCCACACCATGCAGCCATAAATGGAGGACCTGGGCTTGTCTAAATCATTCCCACACTGAATAAACTGTGCTAAAAATAGACCAAAGGCTAATGAAATGAAGAGATCACCGGACACTTGATTAAATTGCAACGTTCCAGATGACCCCATTTAATTTCTATATCAACCACTAGATAAGCCTGTTTGCAAGCTAGCCTTAAACAATGGTATACATAACTTCGCTATCAAGGGCTGATGAAACTACTCATACTAGTGCCTTTCAGAACAGAACTCAATACAGGAATAAAGTCACCCACCGAAAATGGAAGTTATTTATTGGTCTCCTTAATGCAACACAGTAAGTACTATGATCAAATTCTTGCGTAGGTTTTGTTATGGTCCATTGTGGTTTCTTAAAGCAATTCATCCGAATAACCGGGGTCTGAAATTAAAAACCCCAAGTTAGCGTTTAGGTAGCGCACCCGATACATTTTAAAGGAAAAATCACAAGAAAACGAAACGGGGCCGTAACTTTTTTTTCGGTCTTATTTCAACTGCAAGGCGCTAAGATTCGGGCCGCAACTTTTCCTGCAGCTCGCGCACTACAGGGATATGGCATTTTATTAATTAGCAAGCGGCAAGGTATAGAAAGCGCCCTTTATTGTAGATCCACTATGAAAGTACATGTGTCTACCAGGAATCATTAATTAAACTGCACACGATGTGACTCATTACGTCATCCCCCCTAATGACCCGTCGCTATTGGACTCCAGATGCATACATGGGATCTGTGCGAATCCGACCCCAGCACCAGTTACCTGAGCGAAACCGGACAGATCTGCCCCACTCACTCACTCGTTCACCCACTCAGTCATTCACTCACTCCTTTCAGCAGGAATAAACAATTACCTCTAAAAGCATCAGGGATGTCCGTTCAGCCGCATGCTGATTAAAAATTGATTTCCGTTTTAATACCACGGACATCACAAACAAATGCGATCGGAAGAAAGCCGTACTTATACTGTTTTTTTACTGCGCAGGGTGTTTCATGTATAAAACACTATGTTAAAAGTGCTCCTATGCATTCAAAGGATTAGGTCGATCAAACGGAAACGCGGACAGTGGAAACACTGTGAACAGTGCAACTTGTAGGCTCGATGGACTTGTCTCTGACGCCAGCCCCAATTTCATCCATCCTACAATACGCCCCATAATCAGGACAAACCCCTTGTGTAATACCTTAAATGACCTTGCTGGCAAAACACCCTGCAATATTTTTTTTTCTTTAATATTTTGTTACCGGTTCTCCATTTCGGCATTGACAGTCAGACATAATACACCTGTTCCCGCAGCAAAACTCCGTGCAATAAAAACAATGAACGATAATGCCCTTATCCGGCAATAAATCTTCATTAACCCGACATATCATAGAAAAACCCAAGTGATCTTACTGACTGCATCATCAAAAAGTCAACTGACGTATTTACTTAAACCCGTTTGCAGTTAACCGCTTCGCGTCCTCCTCGCTCCACTGTATCAAGCCAAACAGGCTGGAAAATTAAGTTCAGCGTCTTTAATTAATTACGCACCACCCCGAACACCCCAATTAACATCTAAAATTCTGCTTCCGCCTGCTTGAAATAGAGCAGCATAATTTCCTGAATGGCTTCAGTAAGTTATCTAGTGCAGGGGGGCACTTTTCCCATGCAACGTTAACGAAAAAAAGACGACAGTGGTTACAGTTTGCGTCACCAGCAGAGACCCGTGCCCGCGAGAGAGAGTCGCGAGCCGTTTCTCCCGCTCACCTGCGCTGCTGTAGCTGTCCGGTGCTGCCGCCTGTGCCTCTGCCGCCTCACTTTCGCTTTGTGAATGAACCTGCTGTTCCAGCTGCGAGCCACTGATCTCCTGACGTTAATGCGCTCGCTGCGAGTCACCAATGACTGGCCTCCGGCGCTCAAGTGATGTTCGCGTTACCCAGTAATGAATCACGCCTCGGTCCGCAGGGGGCGCGTTCCGGCCAATAGGATGCTGCCGTGCCGTGGCTAAAAAAAGCTGGGGGATCGACGGAGGTGCGTCAGCGCTGTCGCACCGGCGGTGGGATGTCGCCTGGGCTGTGCAGCAGGTGAACCGAGCCTCAGGACTGGTGGCGGCATCTTTCTTCATCGGTACACGGCTGTTGTTGAGTATCTCTCCCGTTTGCCAAAAACGGAAGGCAGTGATTTTATAAATATGGTTCCCACAAAAATTACAGATTTCCTCGTTGGAATTAGGAATATGCATATCCGCAAAGCGTCATAAAGCAAATCAATTAACTGTAAATAAATGATGTTCCATATCTATAATTAAAGGACTAAAGCTAATTTTATATACACATACACAGAGCGCGCGCACGCACACATATTAGCAAATGCACACACTACACATGACTTCAAAAGCATGCATTACATTAAAATATAATTTTAACAGAGGCGCCTACACATTTTTTTTTAAGTTTGCTTGCATAACAGACCTTGTAGCTAAGGCAAGCCGTTTTAACATTAAATAAGTAGGCAGCATAGTAATTTTAGGTATGAGCATTTCAGACATCCGTAATTCAGTTCTTACTAATAGGAATGACGTCACTTGACTTAGTTAAAGATCTGAAGATATAGAACAGAAGTGAAATCTGTTACAGATATCTTCAAATACAGCTTTTACTAGTAAGAATAGACTATTGGATATCACAGATTACTAAAATGCAATTCTTCCTAGGAAAAACAGAATTCTGAATATCTAAAATACAACTACAGACAGGAAAGGGGTGTGTTTAAATGTTATAACAGCTTGCTATATGTAGCAGTTTTAGCATCCCATTACAAACGTCTGTGTTTTTCAAAGATGCTTTATGTGGGATGTAGCGAAGAAGAAAAAGCGGCGGAGACACACTGAAAACACGCCTCCATTCCTGACGTGACATCAGCCCCAGATTTACACAGGAGTGAAAAGTGTCTCCTTTTGGAAGGAAATGTCTCAAAATAAGCCACCTGATTCATTTCCTATGCCACGCTTTCATGAGTCCTGGTGTAACTGGAGAAAAGCTTGACCACAGGTACCATCAATGCATCTGCTAATTAGGGTAGGTGCAGGGATCAGAATTTCTGCCAGAAAGAACCATTGCATTTTCTAGAATCAATGTCCTGGGCTCACCAAACACTATTGTGCATGGCTATTATTACAGATGTTCCTGCCGCTCTGAAACAGAAGATCAGCCTCTTACACAACAAGTTATTTAAAACCGTGAGGATCTCGCAACACAGAGGGCCGTGCAGGTGCCACCAACTTTACATTTCCATCCGTCTGTCTTCCAACTGTTTTTTTTCTGCTCAAGGTCACGCACACCCACTCATACACTATGGGCAATTTAGGAGACATCAGTTAAGCTGACCATGTCCTTGGGCTGCAGCGGGAAAGGTAGTGCCCTGAGGAAGCCTTCGTGATACAGGAAGAAACACACAAACTCCGCACACACTGTAGAAACGAGATTTGGACCCCAAAACCCGGAGGTGAGGTAAGTGGGCGACTCACTGAGCCGTCATGCCAGTCGTGTTTTTGTTTCTGTATCCTGTGCATCTTCAGAGTCCTGTTTTTGTGACATAAATACATGTTTTTTCTTGGATAAACAAATAAAGGTCACTCTCGGCCAATTAGAAATATGCTTATAAGCCTTCTGTGTAATGAGGTAAAAATGCTCAGTTGCCGTTAGTCATGGGATGGCACAGCACAAAGGAGATGTCCGCAAAAGATGGCTCATTTTAGTCCTAATGGATAGACAAACATACAGGCTACATGACTGCTGTGTGTCACCATTTTTGTTAGTGCAGCCTGAATTGACTGGATTGGACATCAGAGAGAGTTTAAGAGAAAGAGATGTAGCCACACTTCTTGAATATGAGGAGAAAAGACCTTTAACCCTTCAATCGTCTATCTAAAAAGCTCTTATCTGGGTGTGTATTTACAGATAAACTTTATGAATCAGTGAGGGGATTAAGTAAACTGTATATACTTAAGCACAGATTTTATAGCTTATATAAGGAAATGATAAGACAAGATCAACTATATGAATGTATGTTCTTAATGGTTAGTTTTCATGTAATGGCAAATATTAATTATACATTTTCAGAGACTCAGCAAATGAAAATTGTCCTCTGTTTAAACATCTGTGGTTTAATTTTGTCTTACACACTAAATATGACAGCCGCTGCAATGCAGTTATAAAACAATGCAACAATTCCGTAAAAATCTGCATTACTTCCTCTAGTTTATTGCTCAAATTACATTGAACTGACATGTTATTTAGATTAAATGTTCCCAGTGATTTTTTATTTGCTTATTAGTTATTGGTAAACATTTAGGACCGCACAGATGTTTATAGAATGAATTAAAATTCCCAGGGTTTTCCTGCCAAGGTTGGCTACTGAAGAGAAGTTTCTGGTGCAACACGGCGTGGTCCAGGGTCTGGTGGAGGACAGACTACTTCACACACAGGTTCCTGAATGCCGTGGCTCCACCTCCTGGTGTGGCACACTACCTGTGAGCATACTGCACTGAGCAGGGCCCATCCGGCTGCTGGGTCCCGACCAGGTGGAGTGAGCTCTGCAGATACAGCCAACATTGCATGATTATATGTTATATACTTTGTTTGCAGAAATATATGTAGTTTTTCCCATCTTTTACTCATTATTTGAGTTGTCTATAGTTTGTACAAGAAATATTACTATGTATTCAAGAAAATATATTCCTACAGATTTAATATGTATGCAATATGTATTCATAGAAACTTGTTAAAAACCGAGAAATGAAATAAAGTGTGTTTAATTTTACTTTATATTTTCTTTTGCAGTCGACAGCACTTAACAGACAGATCTGCTACAGAGATCTGAAGCCTTATGCTTACAGGATGTGGCACGGGGTCCAGGAGAGTGAACTTATACTTAAAGAGGATCAGGCAGATGAACATGTGGATCTCCATCAGGGCGTAAGACCTGCAAGAACAGGAGAGATTCCTCTCTTCAATGTCTGACCGCCATGGTGAAAGCCATCAGAAAAATTACTGCTCCATCAAAGCCCACAGGGCTGTGGCTCCGCCCTACGCGTGTCACTGCTGTCCAATGAAAACCTGCAGCCCACAGGGCTGTGGCTCCGCCCTACGCGTGTCAGTGCTGTCCAATGAAAACCTGCTGCCCACAGGGCTGTGGCTCCGCCCTACGCGTGTCAGTGCTGTCCAATGAAAACCTGCAGCCCACAGGGCTGTGGCTCTGCCCTACGCGTGTCACTGCTGTCCAATGAAAACCTGCAGCCCACAGTGTTAAATAATGCAGGTGGCTGACACTGCATGTGTCAAAAGAGCTTAGTGCTAGTCTTCAACCCTCCCAAATTGCTATAGAAATTGAGTGTCGAGGGGGGACAGGGTTAACTGGTGTTATTTTCTTCAGACAAATTTGTGCATATTTGTACAAATAGGTTCAATGCCACAGCATGGAAGATAGAGTGATGTTGAACTGTGCGCTGCGCACTCTGACATCGTATTTTCAGTATCGCGTTAGCATCCTGACTGAGCGTGATTGACGATTGACTCGTCAACCCTGGTTCCCAGAGGTAGCTTAAAGAAAGGTGGGAGGGGCTTCAGCCTGACACAAGGGTGACGATTCACTCATCTGAGCTGTGCTTCCTGCAAAGCTATGGCAGCTGGAGCCTGAAACCGTACGGGAATGTGTGTGTGTGTGTGTGTGTGGTGGCAGGTCGGGGGAGGGGAGCGGGTGCTGATGCTGAATGCAGCTGTATCACGGAGCTTTATCTGTCATAATAACCTTGAGGGCAGCGAGCAAACAATGAGTCATGGTGGGCTACCGTGTCAATGACGCACACAAGCAATCTCCCGTAACAACACTGCTCTGGAGAGAACGGGAGGCTGTGGCACCCGTGCCTCACTGCGGTTGGAGGAGGCCTTTCTCTGCCCCTCCGCCATGAGGGGCACACTGCCAGCATAGAGGAGGAGGAGATTCTGTTTGCTGTTTTTTTCGTGCTTAGATTGTTTATCACTATGTCGAGATACTATTACATCGTACTAACGTATAGAGAGATGGGTTAAAATGAGGATTCTTATCTATGTATCCGTTCAGGAACCTGAGATATCCGAAAGACGTCTGTGCTCATGCTCTGCTATTTGAGGAAGTACACAGTGCCAAGTCCATTTCTGTCCTTCAAAACATGAAAGGGCTTTTTTTTTTGTCTTGGATGTTCCTCAACTGTTGTCTGGACTTTATTCACATGTTCCTCAAAGCGGGGATGAATTCTGGGAGTCTCTCCAGGAGAGTGATGTCTGCCGCTGGTGCCTCAGACCCTGGTGAACATCCGCAGCTGGGAACAGTCTTCTCGTCCCAGCCCAGTGCTGAGCATCGCAGGCTGCCCCCGGCCATGCGGTCGCCCTGGAGACCTCTGATGATAGCATTGCCTGGGTCCCAGGAGATGCCGGGGTGGGGGCTGGTGAAAGGGGATGTTTTGAGCACTGCATGCAGGCTATGAGATGGATAATGTGAACAGTGTGGCAAGCAAGGGAACTGGCTCAGGGAAGAGGTCATGGGCAGAACATCAGCATAGTTGAGCTCCAGACACCTGCAATCCATTTAACCCCCAATTTCTATTTAGAAGTGTAGGGTGCCAGGCTCCCATCTCCACCCTGCAGTGTGCCAGGCTCCCATCTCCACCCTGCAGTCCCAGTGTGCCAGGCCACCATCTCCACCCTGCAGTGTGCCAGTCTCCCATCTCCACCCTGCAATGTGCCAGGCTCCCATCTCCACCCTGCATTCCCAGAGTGCCAGGCTCCCACCTCCACCCTGCAGTGTGCCAGTCTCCCATCTCCACCCTGCAGTCCCAGTGTGCCAGGCTCCCACCTCCACCCTGCAGTGTGCCAGGCTCCCACCTCCACCCTGCAGTGTGCCAGGCTCCCATCTCCACCCTGCATTCCCAGAGTGCCAGGCTCCCATCTCCACCCTGGATTGATTACTAGGCCTCCTTCTCCCCTTCAGAACCCAACACTGAAAAGCTTTATACAAATTGCACTTTTGTAGAACTTGGCTTTTCTTTCTTTTAATATAGGCAGCTAAATTATGGAAATTACCTGCATTATCCATCATTCAAATTAATTGTTTGATACTTCCACAATAATATATATATTTTTTTTTTAATTTACTTATTCATTTATCCATTTATCTGTCCATGCAGTAGATGCTTATCCTGGTCAGGGTGCTTGGGACTATTTGATCCTCCACTGTTAAACAACCATGACTTCCTTTAATCAGACCAACCACCTTTCCTTGTCTATAACTGTCCTGAATTCATCCTCACGTTTCGCCTTGCGGTCATGAATTAGTGCTGATATTAAAGCGTTCCCCAGGGATGATCTTAATTAGCCCCTCAGGATTGTGTATATTGGGATCACGATCTCCGCTGCGGCCTTTGCATGAGACCAATGTCTTTTACAGTCTTAAAGTTACTTTACGTAACAGAACTTTTCTCGCTTGGTGAGAGTACAGCCCAAAAACGAGAAAACCCATGGAAATTAATAACAACAGGCTAACAGACGCTAAAGCGGTGCTGGCAGCTTGTTTTGTTATGATAGTAAGAGGTTATTAAACATAAAATCACTGAGCTACAAGATATAGCAGGCAGGAAACGGGATGAAAGGCAACAGGAAATGAAGGAGCTCAGCATGTTGCATGTGCTACCAGAGGATGATGCGGTTAAAATGGAGCCCGAATTGGCACTGATGGCTGACTCCTTCCTGCATTGCTGTGCAAGACAGCAGCACGCTAAACAGTACAGGCTTCGTTAGAGTTCTTTTTCCCTAATCACACAACTGTACACATGTACTAGAGACAATACAGTTTGATGGCTAAAATCTACGGCTTGCTGGCTAACAATATACATTTCTGAAACAAAAATATTATTTGCATATATAAATATAAACATTTTGACAAACATTAAATGAACTAAGAATTGTTTGTGTGTTGCAATGTCAATTTAACTGTCAGTTTAAAACTGGCTCTAAATTTCATTATTCTATTAACTTTAAGGAACAGACCTACTGAAAGCTGTTCATTTTGTTATTATGAAAAGTCATTAGATTTGGGTGATAATTGTTGGTTGCACTGTAAAAAAAGTTCCATTAACTGCCCGTGTGCGAGGCCCCAAGCTCAGTTTTATTGTTCATTAACATCTGTGTGGTTCTGGAATCATCCATCCATCTATTTCATTATATTTACTTGTTTAAAAATAAACTATGGATGCTAAAAAAAAAACTTGCTGCTATGCATAAGGACTTTTACTTATTTGTGAGTGCAGTAGTCAGAAGCCTCATATGTACGATGAGATGTGTTATACTATGGAACAGATTTAAAATCACTGAGAGGCAAACATACTGAATGGATTAACGCATGCACAAACGTTTAGAGGCAGACAAAAAAAAGCTGACATATTCTTTGCAGTTAGACCATACCCCTCAACACAGACGTACGGAGCATTACAAACTCATTCAGAGACCCCCAAACTTACCAAACCTCAAAACACAAGATGGCCGATTGTCTTTTGAAGATGAAGCTAAAATGTATGTTTGTCTAACCTTCCTGGGCACTGGTTACGTCCTCCTCCAAATGCCACGAACCCTTCCAAGAAGACATTCTTTTCTAAATCTGCCTTCTCCCACCGTTCCTGTGGGAAGGAAAGTTTTATTGGACAAACAAGACTTCCTTATTAAAATCAAAGCCTCAAGCGCAGCCTCTGCTCTAAGGCCTGACTCTAAGTGGGGTCTGCATGAGTCTGAGTGGGGTCTGCATGACTCTGAGTGGGGTCTGCATGACTCTGAGTGGGGTCTGCATGACTCTGAGTGGGTCTGCATGACTCTGAGTGGGTCTGCATGAGTCTGAGTGGGTCTACATGAGTCTGAGTGGGTCTGCATGACTCTGAGTGGGTCTGCATGAGTCTGAGTGGGTCTGCATGAGTCTGAGTGGGTCTGTATGAATGTGACCGTTTTTTCACTGAATGAGTGATTATGTTAAAACATTGGTCCTGAGTTGTCGCACACTGGTGAAAAAGCACAGGGGCTGATAAATTAAAACACAAATAACCAGCCAGGTGCCAGTCTGAGGACACAAAGGTTCACAAAAAACAGAAGGTGGGCAGACGGAAAAGGACTGGGGAACGTGCCATTGCTTTGCAAGTACTGCCAAACAAATATATATGGGAATTCTCCAACAAGGAAGGTCTAAGGCACAAGGCAGCAATATTCAACCAAAAATAAACAGGCTTCATTAATGCATTTTTAAAGGCGGGAGTCAAGATCACCATAGGACTTTAAATTAAATTTGAAAAAAAAATCAGCAAAGCGATATGGCAAAACCAAACCAGAACTGTAGTGATGACGCAAACTCCATCAACATTTTCTGCATCTGTCGATTGAGGAAATTAAAAAGCAGGGAGAAGAATGGGGTCAAGAGTAGGTACTTATGAAGACCAGTTTTGCTGTTTCCAAAAAACCTCACCTGCCTAAGCCTTAGTGGGAATTAAAATTAAAATACGGACAAAGAAAATGTAAAACCCAGAATTTCTGCTCTGCCCAGTTTGCTCAAAATCCATCTCGGTTTTCATTTCTGATCCTAACACACACCCCCACAAGGGGCAATCCATTCTCCTCAGATAGCCCTAAACGATTGAGACCAAACGCGCTTTCTCTATGAGGCTGTCCCTCCACGCAGATCACCCCGAGACGGTGACAGAAACACAGGCACAAGTTCCTGCATGTTTCTGCAAGTCCATTGAAAACTCCAACATTCACTCGGCTTAGAAATATAACATCTGCTTTCGTGTCGTTGCACCCTGTTGAGCACAGCTACAGGTAGGACAACTCTGCAAAAAGGGAGAATTATGAATTATAATAGGGAGAGTGGGGATCGCTGTTGATCTGCAGGACACACAATGAGAGCCTGGCTGATTTGGTCCACAAGGGCTGTTTTTATGTGAGGTAAAATAACCTTTTCTGAAAGCTGCATTGTGGCATCTCTGCGGACTCCAGCTGGAAGATTAATAGCGAAGGTAATTGTTCTGCTTCCTGCCCCCTGCGGCGAGCGGCATTGTTCAGTCTCACGTCACAGCACAGCGTGGGGCTCAGCCCTCAGTCCGCCTATCGCATGGGGGGGGGGGGGGGGGGGGGGAGTGGCGGAATGAAGCTTGCGGACAAAGCAGGGGGACCGTTATTTGATTGGCGGCCTCGTCATCCTGGTGGCTCTGTTTCAATCACAGCTCACAGGCTAATTTACACAAACAACAGATACCCAGCTGCCTGCAGACAAGACGCTCTTTTATCATGCGGGCGAATTCAAACAGAGGTAGGCAGACGCCAACCTCGGAGGGCGCGGTGGATGGTCAGAACCAATAATCTGATACCATAGATGCTCCCTCTAATGAATTGTACTGATTAACACCATTTGGGAATCAGCAGCCCACTGGGAAGACTCAGCTCATGCTGTAGCAGTAGGTACAAAATGATAACTCACTGGCCAGAACTGTTCCGGGTCAGGGAAGAGTTGTGGGTCTCGGTGAGCCCAGTATGGGGACAGCATCAAAAGATCCCCAGGTGGAATGATGTAGTTCTGAAAAAGAGTACACCCAGCGTTCTTGAGAGATCCTAGGTGTCCATATTCCCCCTGGCAGTAATGGTATGTTCCTTTGGTAGCTCTGTACCTGTATTTGAAGGGGACGGACCACCCGTCGGGTGATAGCCCCCGGGGCCCGGAGTCGGATGGCCTCCAGGATGCAGCACTTCACATAAGGCGTGCGCCGTAGCTCGGCAGCTAATACGGACGTCCTATCCGTGCCTGCGGAAAAATACCACACAGTACCACTGGCACACAGCTACTGAACCACCTTCCACCTTCTACAGTTGCTTACCTATTTTTCAACAACAAAAAAAAACAACTTGTCACTTGATTTAATCCTTTTCGTCACACTCATATTCATAAAATGGTCTATAAGAATCGTCTCCGTATGTGAGCTGTGATTATCCTGACCTCTGCTGTACACCAAGGGAAGTTCAGCCAGTGTTCTCACACAGTGTGTATTATTCAAAACTCTGCATCTTGCCAATTTGTAATATTCACCTTATAACATAAGAATTTAAAGAAGAAATCTTCTGAAATACAGGTATAAATCTGTATCCCCAGTAATAATCTCCTTAAAAAAATGGAGAGAGGGACTTTATACTATGGCGGATTATTTACTTTGGTCTTTGAGGGCTGTTCTTATCTGCTCCATGGCTTTCTGGTAGACCAAAGGATGGGACAGAATGAGCGCAATGGCCCAGAAAGTGATCTGAAAACAAAGGACTATTAACGGCTGAACGGGCTACATGATCCCACAGCACGATGACTTATTACTGGAAGACGTATGTGCGTCAACACGGCACTATACTCACTTACAGGTATGGCATTGGCCAGTGATGCCCACAGCATGAGCAGTGCATAATTGGGCAGGAATCTGTCTGTTACTGTGGCCATGAGGCGCTGAAGTAGTGTCTGTGAGCAGACACATCAACACAACACAAAGACAAAGGATTATTGTATCATTAGAGTATTATGCACAGTATCAATAAAATTCCATATTCCTTGGATTAAAATCCCTGGCATGTATGTCATATACAGTCAGATCACGGGTAAAGGGAAGAGACTTCTGCTATTTAAGGACCACAATGCTTAGTTGTGATGGGTGAAAGGAAAAGGTTTGTCCCGGGACGGACCTCGGTGCTCGCCTCGGACGGCTCACGGCCTCGGCTGACCATGCGCTTCAGCAGGGAGAGGAGCCAGTGTTTGGATTTAGCCCAGTCCCTGCATAGGTACACACAGAGAGTGGATATAAATGAGCGCCGCTCTGCATACGTACATAAAGAAGCACAAATCTCACAAAGGCACCCGCAATCATCCCCTTAAACCTGAGTCAGCTTGCCCTTGATCATCCCCTTTGTTTTCCGCTTCAAGGCTCTCAACTGGTTAGGTTGACCTGTGTTGGAAGGGCTACCAAGCAATTTCAAAGGAAGACCGTGCTAATCATTCCACAGTATACAACTACAAAAAAACAAAAAAAAATCCAGATCACTGGCAATCTTCTGTGAGCAGACGACCCCACCAAAGTCTGCCTGAAACCCACCGTCAGCCTGAATGATAACCAAAGTCTGCCTGAAACCCACCGTCAGCCTGAATGACAACCAAAGTCTCCAAGAGACCCGGCTTAGCAATAAAACATCTACATGCATCTCTTGCCACAATAAATGTCAAGGTGCATGAGTCAACCGTCAGAAAGAAACTGAAGAGCGTACATGGAAAGTCAGGAAGGAGGAAGACTACCCTATTAATCGGAACAAAATTTATAATGGAAGTTTTCTTGAGATCACCTGGATATAGAATAAAACAGGAATCTCAACAGTGGCGTTAGTAGGGCACAAATGCTAGACAATATCTGGCAAAGAATGGCGGTGGGGAGTGGGGGGTCGTGGTCTGGGGCTCCTTTATTGCTGTCACAGACTCAGAATCTCAGATCACACTCAGCCAATGGCAGAAGACAATGTGAGGACACCTGTGCCAAACCTGAAGGTGAGCTGCGAGCGAGTGAGACCCAAAACAGAACAGACTGAGAAATGGAAATTGAGGGATCTGGCTAGGTAAAGCCCAATGCTAATGCTAACCAAAGCCATTTTTCCATTACGGGCTATCAGCAGGTGCCAGCCAGTGAACGCAGGGTTAGCGCTACATTTATACCTACGGCAGGACGTCTTTCCATCCCACTTTAGGGGGCTGCTGCTTACCTCAGGAAAATGTCAGGCAGCTGGCTGCCGTATTCGAAGCCCTCGTCGTAGATCCGGAAGATCTCAATGAACTCACGCACAGCGGCGGGGCTGTTGGGGGAGTTGTGTTGCCCCAGCAAGTTACTAATCACTGCTGGGTACATGGTGACCCTGTGAAGCAGAGCAAGACAAGGGGTGAATCTCAATATGTGCACATCACTGTACTTGTGCTCTCATGTACACGTTTTACATCATCTTCCATCGCTGAAGACCAGTTCCAATACTAAGAACACAATTACAGAGGACGGTAAAAATCCCCGGATGTCGTTCTTGCCCAACCCCAAATATCAAGGATGCATCGGCTGTATCCTCGCTGAATGAGGTCAATCCCATGATTCATAGTGCCCCATATTCATTCTTGGAAGGCAAGTTGGCAAGACCACAAGTTGGTTTTTCCAAGACCACAAGTACAGTCCTTGCATTCTTGGCATTGAGATTCGCTCAAGCTCTGCTAACAGAAAGGTGTGATATGTCTTGAAGACTAGATGCTGTAGACCAGGGGTGGAGAACGTGTTCCACGGAGGGCCGGTGTGGGTGCAAGGTTTTGGGATGGCCTCTCTATCAGCCAATAGCAGTGGGTCTCCAGGACTGGAGTTGAGAACCACTGTTTTAATATTGTCTGATCCCAAAAACTCGCACCAGCCCTACATGAATCAGGTTCCCCACCCCTACTGTGGAACTTGGGGCTGACAGAGGGGTATGTTGTGGACAGTCAAGGAGAGGGCATAATTGTTAGGACACTACCAGTCAAAAGTTTTTGCAGACACTGAGATTTTCTACATTTGCATGATACTCACTTAACATTTCCTAAAAAGACACTCAATATTCTTCGCTAACAAATAAATTTACAATATATATCCTCCTGAGACCCAAGGAAAAAATTGTCCTTCAATTTTAGTTTATTTGTCTTTGGAGGAAATGACATCTTACAATTTAGATTTTTTCAAATTTATCTTTTATTTTTAATTTCACAGCATGTCCTCTTTAGTGTTTATGTTTCCTTACATCAGTGAAAAGATAGATGCAAAAACAAAATGTCCACTACAATGGACATACTGTAAATGAATGGGTGGGGTCTCAGGAGGTTACATATAGGTGCACAAAGTTTAAGGGAATAAGAAATTAATATAAGATATTAGGGTTTGAGAGATGAGAAAAACAGCAGCAAAGAAAATGCCCATGACACTTGCTTAGGGATTATTTCAAGGGGAGTGTCGCACCCAGCTGATTATGGTAGGTTTCCCATGATCAACAGAAATGAACACATCAGTCATGAACTTGTGCTGAAGTTATTGAAAAACTGCCGTGAGTCAGTAGACATTCTGAGAATTAGGTGGGGTTCACCAGATCAGTCAGTTACACCTCTTTGACATATAAATGTGTGACATGAAGTAACAAGCCAAATAATAATAACAATACTAAGGGAATAACTAATTTGTTATTTTTTCTATTCTTATATATATAGATATAGAAAATATGATAAACTATTAAGTTTGCTAGTACAATGTTTCCCAACCCAGTCCTTGGGGAGTCCACATTTTTGCTTCCTCTCAGCTCCCAGCGCACCTGTACCAGGTATTCGGTGTTCCTGATTGGCTGGGAGCTGGGAGGGAGCAAAAACGTGGATTGTCTGGGGTTCCTGAGGACTGGGTTGGGAAACACTGTGCTATTAAACATTAATAAATTGTACAAGGATGACTCACATGGCTTACAGTTAAGAATGTAGTAAGAGTAAAGCAGTTTGGGATTAAGTAGGTTTATAAAGGACACCAAATTAGCTGCTTAGTTAATGTTCCTGCATCCTGTCTTAAGCGTGAAGGAGAATCAGGTCCCCACAGTTTACCTGACCAGGTCACACAGTTCTCCAGAACCGCTACGCCCCAAGAGCGCCAGGTGGGTGTTGAACTGCTCACACAGGTGACCAGACAGTTGAACCTGAGCCTGAGTCAGCTTGCCCTTGATCAGAGGGTTGCATGCTGGGTGAAATCTATAGAAGCTCTCCTTGCTGATGGAGGCTGTGTGTAAAAACAAGTGTTTCATATACAGTGCTTATGGGTATTTAATTGGCATATGGGCATTTAATTAAATGTATAGCCAGTCAGCCTGGGAATACAAAACAGTGGTGTGTTCTAATTAAACAATAAAACAAACTTTAGGTAATGTCCTTGGTTTAAGTGGTGGTTTAATAGTGTTTCTTCGTTTCTAATATACAGGCACCAGCATGAGGGAACAACATTGTCACCACCAGAAGGACAGCACATTTGAAATATCAGATAATTAAACAAATCTCAAGATCTGGATGACACAATGAAGACCGTGAATAATCCATGATATTGTGTAATGAAACTAAAATCCAATATTCAGCATGTAGCCACTGTCATACAGTACCGGAGAGAGACCAAAAAATTCACAAAGACCAGCAAACATTAAGTATGAAGTCTATTGGACTACATTATATCTTAATGATTTGACTAGTCCTTTTTGGTCTAAATTTTCATTATTTTCCCATTCTCATTAAAAAGCCACTTCTGGATTGTCTGTTGATGCTGATGCCCAGTCCTACCTGTGTTGTAGACAGGTTCCTGCACTGCCTGCTCAAAATCCACATCCTTAGATGTAAAGAATGTCCGAAAATCTTTATGGCAGGTCACAAAGGTCAGGCGCTTTCCAGCAGCAAACACAGTGAAGACTGGGCCGTACTAACAAGCAATAAAACACATTTGAATCACAAACCCCATTTCCTGAAAAGTTGGGATATTTTCTAAAATACAATAAAAACAAAAATCTGTGATGCGTTAATTCAGGAGAACCTTTATTTAACCAATAAAAATACAAAGAAAAGATTTTCAACAGTTGGACTGCTCAACTTAATAGTTCTTTATAAATATATGCAGTTAGAATTTGATGGCTGCAACACACTCAACAAAAGTTGGAAGAGAGTTAAAATATGATTGAATAGTGCACAGAATATTCCGGTAACACTGGTTTGGAAGACTCCACATTAAGCAGGCTAACTGGCATCAGGTGAGGTATCATGATTGGGTAAAAGTAGAATCCATCAAAGGCTCAGTCTCTGCAAGCAAGGATGAGTCGTGGTTCACCCTTTGTGCCCAAAATTTTTGAAAACCATTGTTACTTAACTGTCCGTTGCATCCAGAAATGCAACTGAAACTGTATTATGCAAGGAGGAAGCCATACATCAACTCTCTACAGAAACACTGGTGAGTTCTCTGGACCTGAGTTCATTTCAGATGGACCGAAAAACTGTGGAACTGTGTGCTGTGATCAGATGAGTCAACATTTCAGCTGGTTTTCAGAAAAAATGGGTGTTGAGTTCTCTGTGCCAAAGATAAAACCATCCGTCCAGATTGCTATCAATGAAAGGAGCAAAAGCCAGCTTCTGTGATTGCATGGGGGTGCATCAGTGCCCAGAGCATGGGGGAGTTGCATGTATGTCAAGGTACGACTGATTCTGCGGCATATATTAGGATCTTAAAGAGACATATGTTGCCATCACAGCAACATCTCTTCCCAGCATGCCCATGCTTATTTCAGCAGGACAATGCCAGACCACATTCTGCAAGGGCTACAACAGTGTGGCTTCTTAGATACAGAGTGCATGTGCTTGACTGGCCTGCTGCTAGTCTAGATCTATCTCCTATTGAAAATGCATGGTGCACCATGAAGAGGAAAATCAGACAACGGCGACCACGGACTGTTGAGCAGCTGGAGTCTTACTATCACGCAAGAATGGACAAAATTTCCAATTGCAAAATTACTACAATTACTATCCACAGTTCCAAAACGATTAAAAGGTGCCATTAAATAAAGGTCTGCATGAATAAACATATCTCAGATTTTTGTTTTTATTGCAATTAGGAAAATATCCCAACTTTTCAGGAAATGGGATTACTACAAAAAATGAATGAATCACCTTTACACCCAAGACAGGGAAAGCAGATGGAATGTACAATAATAAAGTAAGTCGAGCTTTGTTAATACAAAAAACATGTGTCAACAACGTGCACCTGGCCTAGAATAAATTGTGTGTTTCTTAACAACACAGTTGCTATTGGATATACCAAGCTGAGTCACTGGTATATAGTAAAGAGGTAATACTTAAATTTGTCTCGCATGCTTTACTCGTTTCCCAACATGTCAGGACACAAAATATCTTATTATCAAAGATAGATTTTTGCTGGGTGTTGCAACATGTTAACAACTGTGGTGCATATAGTGAGTTAGCTAAGCCAAAGACCTTGACCTTATTTCAAGATTTTTAGATTCAGTACCAGTAATTTTAAATCTGACTCACTACCTCGTAGTGAATGCAAAACGTATTCTTACTAAACAGATACTTTCCAAATTCTCAGTCAGACTTAATGTCAGCCCAGAATTTCCACATGGGATCAATAAAGTTAATCTGGATCTAATCTTAATCTTAATCTTAATCTTAATCTAATAGTACAGACAATAGGAGAAAAATACACAATCACTAAAACGTAGAAATACATTACTGATCATCAATGCTATATTATTTACACATATTTTGATAGACATCATTTTGAAAGAGTTTAATATAGGATTAGATCTCGAATAACTAAACAGTCACGAAAAGAATGTATGAAGACCACAAAATTATTACAGTAACTTTTACCTTTGCCCTGGCTTGTGCGATAAACTCAAGCGGCGCTTTTCCAAACTGAAATGCGGCTCCGAACCACGGGATCCATCCTGTAATGCATGGAGGATAGTTCACTTTTTTCTGAAGAAACAGCACATATACTGAGCTAAAAAGTATCAGCAAACACAGAAAGAGTATGATTAAATCCATCACAAACGGATGGCTTCAGACCGTCACTTCCCTCTGACAACCGAATCTATTAATCCTAAGTGTGATAGCAGTACCTGTCAGATATAGGAGTCGAGCGATAGGCTGACATGGGCATAACAGCAAATATTGCCATCCAATCAAGCACGGGAAAGCGGGGCTCGCCATTATGCATCTTCGATGGGAAATGTAGTTCTTTAATGCCAGTTAACGGTTTCAGCGAGTGATGAATGAATTTATCGAAAACTACATTGACCTAACTTCCGGTTCATGGTGTTTTGATAAAAAGCTGGGGGCGTCCCAAAGAGCTCAGTGACACATCTGCGGGAGCGTGATTGGCTGTAATAGACTTTGTGCGTTTATTCAGAGCAATTTGTTTTATCGCTTAGTGAAGAGTCTGTGGTTAGAAATGGTTCCTTGTTTAACTCGACGTTTGTGTTATTTTTGAAAGGGAGCAATACCACGGAAAACAATTTTATTTCTGGCTAAAATTGTTTGATTTCGAAATGGGATTCTTTCAGGGAGATACATCGTCTGTCCTGCTAGAGTGGCCGCGGACGACAAAGTTCATCTTGTCCGCGTGCGCAGCTACGGTTGCAGAAATAGGTAGCCGGTTTACGGTCATGCAAACGCTTTACGGGGCCCCTCGCGCTGCTCGCGCTGGGATCTTGAAGTAGCTCTCCACTCGTACCATAGGTAGTATTGCTCTTTAAATATTTAATAATGTTTTAAAATTATATAAAATATACTTAACTTTTAGAAATTAGCGTGGACAACTTTTGATTGAGCATTGGACGGGTTGAAGTCTCCACCTATTTAAGGGGGTCCAGGGAGTTGTATTGGCTGGTTTTGATTATTGGGGGGGTTACAACCCCCCCATTCCCGCATAATTTACGCCCATGAGTGTGGGTATACTTTATTCGAATTCCACTTATAGTGAGGAATCCAAAAATATGTATTTTACTAGGGACCCCGAAAAGCGTACCGCAACCTACTAATTAGTATAATCGTAATGGTTTGTAAATGTGGCATACTCTGTAATTTTAGTCAAACAACGTAGTACATCTTTTTGATTAACATGTTTTATTCATGACCCTGAAATATTAAAATATTACCGATTGGTTTTTGAAATTTTCCAGACAAAAATTTGAGAACTTGTCCATTACACTTGAAGTTTATTAAAACGCTGCTGACAAAACGGGCTTAATTTATTAATAATGCAATTTATTATTTAAGTTCATAATTTATGACATTTTATCATTTTTAGTCAGTGTATTTCTGAATGCGGCACGTTGTTCTGAAAATGCATTATGGGTATTATCGGTATTATTATTTTGCTGTTGATTTGCTTCTGTCCTAGTTACATTTCCTCTTGACCTGACAAAAACCAGACTGCAGATACAAGGCGAGGCAGCCCAAGGTGGTAGTGGCAGCCGTGCTTATCGGGGGTTGGTGCGCACGGCTTTTGGGATCGCTCGCGAGGAAGGGCCCCTGAAGCTGTGGCAGGGTGCCACCCCAGCCATCTACAGACATATAGGTATTCAGGCGTTATGACACTGCAGCAGATATCAGTTCAGATAATCAAATGTTATGATTACATGAGGTGTAGCTGCTCTCATTGGAGGTACTTATTTCAGTTTGCTATGAAGTCTTGTCTTAAGCTTCTTGGAAATTAAAAGTTTCCAAGCTACTTGTCAGAGTTATTGCGGAATACTGCTATTTTGGGGGTGTGATTTGTACTGGGAAGGGCAATGTAACACCTCTAAGGGCTTCATCCATGTCCCCCTCCCACTTTAACTGCACTGCTGATACATCATCATAGCGCAGAGGATGTTTGCAGGCTTTAACCTTCGTGCCCTCCTCCCCCAGTGTATTCTGGTGTGCGGATGGTGGCTTATGAACAGCTGCGGGAATCCCCACTGGGACGGAATGAGGATGCCGGCTTCCCTTTCTGGTGAGAGGATGCATGTCACTGCACATCAGTACGTTCTCTTCCAGCCGCTTATCTAGTGCAGGGTTCCAGGAGTGGCCCAAAGACTGTCCCAGTTAGTACAGGGCACCCTGGACAGGATGGCAGTCAGTCATAAGACACACACACACACACACACACACACACAATGGGCATTTCAACCAGAATTTTTTGGACTGGGGGGAAAACCTGGATTACCTGTGGGAAACGCATCGGATTCCACACACACTGATGCGACCTGTAGTGTGTAGTGTAGTTATGTCACACAGTCTGTAATGAGCCAGAAGTATTGTTCAGTAAAGAACTAAAGAAGCATTGCAATCTCACTCCTTTCTCAGTGAGTTTTTTCATATGCGTTCTGTAAATAGTATAATTACAGAAGAACGTTGAACCACCACGAAATAGAATTAGCGGATAGTCTCAAAAGGTGTGTAACGCTGGGGTTCATGTCCTGCCTCGGTAATAAGTCCCTCTGGATACTGACTTACTGCTGACTGCAGTTTTTGTCGTCCCGTCCCCCCCCAACAGGAAGTCCGTGGTGGGGGGCATGCTGGGAGGGGCACTCGGCCAGTTCATGGCCAGCCCCACAGACCTGGTGAAGGTACAGATGCAGATGGAGGGGAGGCGTCGGCTGGAAGGAAAGCCCCCACGGTGAGCCCCTCCCACAGCACGGCCCCCACCAAAGCCAATATTTAGCCAGCGCCAGACAGACTTTGCTCACTTGGTCTGAACGGCACCTGTATTGTGACAGAGTGAGGGGGGTGTACCATGCCTTCGCGAAGATCATCTCGGAGGGAGGGGTTCGAGGACTCTGGGCAGGATGGGTCCCCAATGTGCAGAGGGCCGCCTTGGTAAATTTAGGAGGTACAAGAAATTCCCCATTTTTTAAATAGTTACCTTACATCGAAGCATTGCACATTGAAAAGTACGCTTGCTGTCAAGATAATGGAGACTTAGCAGGCATGGCACTGAAAAGGACGCCGATTTCTTATTCCTCACGCAGATCTTACTACGTATGACAGCGTGAAGCACTTCCTGCTGAGAAACACCACCATCCCGGACAACAGTGTGTGTCACGGATTGGCAAGGTATTCGCCGTGGTCTTTTGCTCTACCGTTGGACTGTCAATGATTAATTTTGCAGGCGAGCTGATTTAAAACATTTTTTTGTTTGTTTTTTTTTTTTTATTATTCTGCACCTCAGCACCTGTTCAGGTCTGGTGGCAGCTATCATGGGGACGCCTGCGGATGTCATTAAAACCAGGATCATGAACCAGCCCAGGGACAATGGCGGCAGGTTAGCGTAGCAGAACACTCCCATGCAGAAACTGGTAATGGCGAGCGGCCAACGAGCAGTGGAGTTTAACCTTTGGGATCGTTTCTATATATGTTTAGTCTTCATGCACCAGATCACACAGGATGGGAAACATTATTTGAACAGAAAAAAATAAATGCTAGAATAGACAGGCTGCCGATGTAGGGGCTGTCTCAGAATACATAACATGACTTAATTTGGAAACACCCTTGTCCTCATGAATTATTAATAGTCCTGCCCAAAGTTCAATGTTTGTACACCTGTAGTCTTTATAGGAAATGTGTTGTGAGTGATGATAACAGTTCCTGTTGGATTTTGTGTCTTGTCAGAGGTTTACTGTACAAGTCCTCGCTTGACTGCCTCCTGCAAACGATCAGAGGAGAGGGGTTTATGTCTCTGTACAAAGGCTTCCTCCCCACCTGGATGAGAATGGTAAGCTCAGGATTATTCTGCTTGGCTTTGCGGTGTTCTCCAACCATTGGAAGACGCACTGATTACACTCCTGATCACTGTCCCCTTCCTAGGCCCCGTGGTCCATGACGTTCTGGCTGAGCTATGAGCAGATACGGAGGGCGACAGGCGTCACCTCGTTTTAGAGCCTGCGGAGTTTCGCCCTGGTGCCTATTCCTACCGGAGACATTGTCCTTGCCTGTGGATGGCCAAATGAAAGTATAAGTGGCATTACACAAACTACCTTGCGAAGACACGGGTGAATCACTTGAACGTTATAGAGCCAAGCTTTTTTTCGCGGTCTGTGTGATATACCTGGTGACCTCTTCGTTTTCCAAGATGATTCATGCCAGTGCCTGACATGCATTGACTATCTACTCCGAAATAATATTCACCCAACCATATTCCAGCCACTTATCCTGGTCAGTGCACAAGACAGGGGTACACACACACGTGGCACATATACCCTCACAATCATGGGCATATGTGGGCACTTCAGAGATACCAGTTAGACTAATTGCATGCCTTTGGACCATGGAAGGAAACCAGAGTACCTACAGGAAACCCCCATGATGAGGGGAGAACATGCAAGCTCCATGCACACCGAGCAGGGACAGGTTCCCAAGTCCTGTCCCTACTACCCACTGAGCCTCCACACCACCCGGATACAATGGAAATGTCACATTGGAGTCATTGACAGATTCTGTATATGATCAGACGTTAAGCGGATAGGGGGCACAGCGGTGCAGTGGCGAATACGGTTGCCAGGGTTCGAGTCTCTAGCTGTAGCTCTATGTGTGTGGAGCTTGCTTGTTCTACCTGTGTCGCTGTGGCGTTTCCCCCATGTTCTCCGGTTTCCCCCCGCGGTCCAAAAACATGCTACGGTAAATTGGAGTTACCACATTGTCCATTGGTGTGAATGTGTATGAGTAGTATGGATGTGTGTATATGTTTGCCCTTGGCGTCTTGTCCAGGGGTATTCCCGGCCTTTCGCCTGTAACTTGTGAGGTAGTTTCTGGACCAACACGGTTCTGAATAGGACAAGCAGGTATAGAAGATAGATAGATGAATATTGAGCAGGTGACAAACAGTGTTCTAAAAAAGCTCTTTAAGTTTGATTGTTTTTACATTTTGGTGTAAATAATTGTTCGGCCCTCAACAGCTTCCAAAATTAGACAATTGCAGCCTTAAATGATACGTAAAGCATCACTATGTCACTATGTTACTTTTGCTATGACAAAAAGTAAGCAGAAATACAGAAACTATGAGAAAAAGGAAATCGACCCTCGATGCTTCCATAGGATTTGAGAAGTTATTGGCCATATGTTGGTAATAAAATGCACTTGATTGGCTGAATACACTCTTTAAAAGCAGAACTTTGGCAGTCTGGTGGTCACACCACACCAAGCAGGAAAAGATCTCAGCAATGATCTCAAAGAAGTAATGGCTGCTTATCAATCTGGGAAGGGTTATAAGGGTGTTTTCAATTTGAAACCCGCAATTCTAGTGAGAAAGATGATTTACAAATGGAGAACATTTGAGACATTTGCCAGCTTCCCAGGAGTGGATGTCTCAGCAAATTCACCCCAAGGTCAGATCATATAATTCTCAATGAAATTGAAAAGAACCCAAAAACCACTTTTAGGGATCTACTAGCTGGTTTTAATTAACAAATGTCAAAGTTCATGACTACATGATTAGAAAAAGACTGAACAAGTATGATGTTCACAAAAAGGTATCGAGGAGAAACCCCTTCTGTCCAAAAAGAATAGCTTAGAGTTTCAAAGCTGCATCTGAACAAACCACAAGGACAAGGCAGTTTGGACATGATACAAAAGTAGAGGTTTGACACAACAGCATATGATCAAGAGCACTTTACACCAATCATCAAGTATGGTGGCTGGAGAATGTATTGGATTTGTTTTTTAGGCCAGAGTACCTGAGTGCCTTGTGGTGAAGTTGACAGTGACCTCCTCATTTATATAATTATTCTAGGCTTAAAAGTTAAGCCGCCTGCTTGACAGCCAAAGCTGGGCCAAAATTTGCTCACACAGATATACCAGGGCTGTTCAAATCACTGTCCTCAAGGTCTGAGCCCTGCTGATTTTCCAGCCTTTCTTTACCCCTAAGCCAGGTGTGAAGCCTCTGGCCAATCAGAATCAGTAATTATTAAACTACCTGGCAGAACTGAAAACAAAGCCTGGGTTTGGAATTGAGTTCCAGATTTGAAGGGCCCTGAAACAGACTGACCCCAAAATGTCCAGCAAGTCTACTTGCTAGCTTGAATGTGATCTTTAATTCACTGCCTCTGTGTATGAATGTATGAGCCATGCCTGGATTGTGAATTTTACTATACTTTCAAAATAAATCCTATGTGTTGTAATATATTTTAAAAATATGTTTTTTTTATTTGTCCATTAAAACCATTATTTCTTTGCATCATTTTGATATATCCTGGGACAGATGCAAAAAAACCCCAAACACTAAACACTCTACTAAGGTAAATTTAACATGCCGATCTGGTGTATATCACACAGCTGCATACTAGAGTAATAGCCTGCAATTCATTCCATTTGTCCATCCATGAGTCTCCTATAACTGGTTATTCACTGCAGTTGCTGTTACACTGCGTCTCAGTTGCTGAAAATAGGCTCCAGGCCGAAACTATAAAATGTTAATCAGAATGAACTCTCCTATCAGCTACTGTCCCCCAGCTACTAAAGGCAGGACAAAGTACATACAAATAGCTCGAGGGTAAGCCATCGCATTTTTGAGCGGAACCAGCGAATGTCAGCCTGTCGGTAATTTTTTAAATTGAAAAAAGCATTTTTACCAACGAGAAAGTAAGAGCATTTTATTTTTGCACAGGTCCCTTCAGGGGCTCCATAATTTTTCTGCATTATGTCCGTGACAAAAAAAATAGGAATCCCACACACGAATCAACCACCCAAAGGGGATCAATACAGTCAAATCTAATTCACAAATTAATGTGATGCATGGGAAGTACATATATAACATCCTGCAAATATCGCCTATTAACCTACATAACGTTCACCACCGTCCAGTATGCCGTTTATTCCTTTACATTGCGTTTCTTCTGGCTATACGAACGGCACTGCAAGGTTAAACGAAAATGCGCACTTCTGTTTTGTGGCCCTCAGCGCCCCCTAGCGGCCTCATCTGCGACACACGGCTCACATGACCCGGAAGCGAAGAGTAATTACGTCAGCCTGTGGGCATTTCCCTTTCAAGCCGGTGAGCATGGCGGTTCCTGCAAGTGGAGCTTCAAGACGTTTGGTGCAGTATGTAGTAGTCCGGTCGGATCTGTTGCGCACTATGGCATGGCCTTTAGGGGCCGTCATCACACAGTGCTGCCACGCAGCAACAGCGGCAATTCACCTGAACTATGACGATCCAGATACGCAGGAGTACTTGGCAGAGCTGGACACCATGCACAAAGTCGTGCTGGAGGTACCCCGCTTACGCTCGACAGCCGGCTGGTTTACCCAGTGGCTTGATCCTTAGCCCTATTAACGCATTATAAGAATATAAGCGGGTTTTAGATTCGAGTCCTGTATTTTGCATACCAGCGGCTCTCTCCAAATGTGCACTGGTAATGAATGAAGTCAGTATGAAACTGCTAACATGTAATGGTAGTCTTCTGTGTTTCTGCAAAACAACGCCCCAGAGAAATTGCTGGCTTTTCTCCTCGACTAACCGTCTGTTTTCTGTCCTGCAGGCTCCGGACGAGGCGTCTCTCACTAATTTGTCGGAGACGCTGCGGGAGAAGGGGGTGGCTCACAAACTGTGGATCGAGCAGCCCGAAAACATACCTACCTGCCTGGCATTAAAGCCCTATCCCAAAGACGCGGTGCACACATATCTACGCAAATTAAAACTCTTCAAATGAAGTGGAAAGGACGGAAGGGCAGCTGTCATTCACATATCCAGAAGGTATCCTTATGAAAGGGCAACGCAGCGTTAGTGCTCCGCTCTGGCCTCGCTGATCTGAAACATTTCTGGATTTTTTATAGAGGAAAAAGTGAAATCATGCACCTTTCTGATGTCCTTCTTCCCAAGAAGCAACAGATATTGCGATGCAGCGATCTTTGCACATTTAGTTCTGTGATCCTTTATAATTTTTGGAGAAAGTGCATCACTTCCGTATTCTCACGGGGGGGGGGGGGGGTGAGAGATTTTCGGAAATGTAAGATAATAAACAGCCTCAAATGTGTTTCTTGCATGTATTTTTCCATGCATGCTAAACATAGAGGCAGTTTAATAAGTGTTGGTTATAAAAATATTTTTGTACTATATCTCAAAGTCCGCAGGTGGAGGTACAGTTTACTGTCTCAGGTTACAGGAAGCATGAACTGGATGTAGCATTGAGGAAGAGAGGGGATTTTATGTTCGCATAGGCCCGACTTGTAAAATCTCCTGTACACTGTTCAGATTTACTTAATTTGTAATTCAGTTCACATGGAGCAAATAGCTTTATTTTTCATAAATATAAAAATCCCTTCAAAATTGGATTGTGATTCTAAATCACTGCCTGCTTTAACACAGGGAAGTAACTGACAGTGCAGTCAGCTTGGATGGGTTTCACTGATTACCAAGTCCTGAGGCTTTTGAAAACCAAAGGAACCATAAATCATGTTGGAATACTCTATACACAAGGTAGAAACCCTGGCATTAATTAGTTTGGTGTATTTATTTGATTTACCAGTAAAGCCACTGATATGAATGAATCTCTTCAAGAATAACCAGACAAAGCAAAATGCTCTGACATCACGACAAACACTGAACACAAGTGATGGAAAACTCATGTAGAATGTTGTGTGCCTGCTGATTCCTCCATACCAAGAACTTCCTGAACTGTCACAAAAGCGTTTCAGAATCCTGGTTCTGGAGACCTGCTCCATGTGCACCTTAGCCTACATTTTCAGTAATTAGCCTAATTAAGAAGCTGTAGAACAAATGGCACGATAAGTCCCTTATACACACCAGGTGACTCCCCATGCGCGTAAAGGAATAAGTAAATATGTGCTTTTTTTGTTTTGATTAACCATGACATACCATACAATTCATTGTTTCCTGTGCCCCTTTAAGTCATAGATGATAAATTGGTACATTTTAATTCTTCAATAATTTCAAATGGGAAATACTTAAAAAGGGACAAAGTGCTGGGGAAGTTTCAAATGTAATCCGTTACAGACAGAGGTGGCAAGTTCAGATCCAGAAAGTACAAATCCAGACCAAGGTTTTGTTCCAAACAATCAGCTGAGTACTCTGTGACTGTGCCTCTTTATACTCAACTGGTTGGTTGAAACAAAACCTTGGTCTGGATTTTTACTTAATTGACCTGAACTTGCCACCTCTGTCTGTAATGAATTACTTCTGTAACTTCCCCAACACTGGCACCTTTAATTTATCACTGCCTGAATTGGGCCGGAGCCCTGTGTATCTTAGTTCTTTCCGTTCCACCACAAATGATTCAGCTCAAGAGCTGTGTGGTAATTAGTACAAGGAGTTGAATCAGGTGTGTTAAATGAGGGGAAACCCAAAAATGTGTAGGGCTCCAGCCCCCCAGGACTGGAGTTTGACACCTGTGCACTACAACTTACAACTCTGAACAGGTTACAACAGTTTTTAGGCATATGATTCATAATGTCATATATTCTTAGTAAAAAAAAAAATCTTTACAATCCATTCTTCAGCATAGGCAATTTCCATTGTATTCAATAGTTTTGTTTATAAGCCTCTGTCTTAAAGCAATTTCATCCAAAGCACTGCTAGAAATTAGGACACATTAAGTAGGAAAGAAGTTAAAGAAGGGGAGGGGGTACAGAATAAATGTTAAAAATCCTGTTTTTTAATGGTGCTTTTATTGCAATGTGTTGTATTCTCACATTCATGGATATTAATGAGATTTGTTAGTCATCATTTCCTTCGAGGTCAACGTTCTGACCTGATCCCAACCTTTTCGACCCACAGCAGTGGGGTGGGGGGGGGGGGGGGGTTACGGAGTAGATGTATGTGTCCTCGTAGCGTGCCTGCTTCTGCAGCCACAAACGTCCGTCACAGGAATGAGGAATAAGACCACTTCAGTCATTGTGAAACACAGTACGTCAACCTGCAGTGCATCTCTGCAGGTGCCGGACCAAAGGTGTGACTGATTGTCTACTACTTCATAGGTAAGGTAGGATTTTTTTTCCCCAGATACTGAAAAAAAAAAGGAACGAAGAAAAAAAAAAAAAAAAAAAACATGCATAAACTTCCCAGATACATCTTCATTCATCATGTCCCACACAGCTTCATGGTGACTTTGCCTAACATTACACAATACCCAAGTGTAATATACAAAACTGGACAAAGTGAGTAAAATGTATAATATTTATAGATATATATATATTTATTTATATTAACTTTACAAGAAAAAAATGGAACCTTGTTTCAAGAGATTGCTGCTGTTCCAGGGGGCAGTCGAGGGAAAATCCCTCAGAACCGCAACCATTATCAGTATCAGTAAGGCAGCACGTACAAGAGATGAGAAGCATTTGCTCCTAAGGTTCCCGACAGTGAAGAAACACTACCTGTACACATAGGGGATCACTCAATGTGGGGGGTGGGGGGGAATCAAAGCAAAACGTTATACAGCAGGCAGTACGTTATATATAAGAAGACTTGGGGGGAAAAAAATACGTATGTGTGTCGGCAACTATAAAAAGAATATATTACAAATCCTCTGGAAAAATTAAACATAAGCAGCAAACTAGGATGATGAATTGGTAAAAAAAAAAAATCAGGAATGTTTTCAGATACTATAATAAGCATAAGGGTAGAAACGGATGGATGGATGGATGATGGCAGAGTAAATGGAGATATAGAACGACAAGCAATGCAGAAGGCCTGAAAGGAGAGTCCAAGCCTGGGAGAGCCATGGATTCACCGAATGTCCAAAAAAAATAATAAAATGCAAGGGGGGGGGGGACCTTCCTTTTCCAGTGTACAACAGGACATTAGCCAGCTTTTACAGAGCCTGAGAATATTTTTTGTATTTATTTTTGATTACATTCTGGGGATATTTGAAATGCAATAATGATCTGATTTTAATGCAGATACTTCTTGCAATGGCCTCTTTCCTTTTTTAAATTTCAAAGGATATAAAGTGCAAAAAACTAGATTGTATTTCCTGTAAATGCCTGGAATATTTAAATTTCAGTAAAAAATGTATGTAAAATACAGCATATTCATTTTACAAAGTTAAATGTAAGAAATTCTCCATTAACAAGAAAAGTTTAATCAAACTGTAAAGGATCGGTCCTTTACTCTATATGCACAAAATATGTACAAGAGGCACCTCAAATTTGGTATAAAGTATTTAGCTAAGTAAATTAAAATATTTAACAATCTGCATTAACCTCCTTGCAGAAACAGTTCAGAAACACAATTTCCAAACATTTATGAAAACAAATTGAATTTGTTTAAGAAAACTGTCAATTTGTATAGCTCCAAAAAGGTATTTACCGAGAATGCATAGTGTAATAAAATATTTCAATTTGATTTGTTACATTTTAAGTCCTTGTAATCATGCTTTTAGTCTTAAAGGTGCATAGCTATCTAGAGATTCTGCTACTCCCGTCAACAGTGAGTGTGCCGACCATCTGAAAGTACTTTCGATGCTGCCCCGCAATAGTATTCGGACTGCTTTAACTGGGAAATGCGGAATATATACAAACTGCTAAAGTCACTTGCCAGTATATTAGGACAGCGGGAGCTGAGCACAATGTTGCCATGCTTTAACATTGGGGGGGGGGGGGTGTTTCACTGCTTATACCACATTCCACTATTATAGAAAAACCTTTTCCATACATTTTTTTTTTGTATTTTTGAATGCTTCATTTTGCATTCAATAAACAGACTTGCATATGAGATATTTGCCATCTTTAAGCTTTGGTCATTACAACTAAACATGCAATCGCCCTGTGCCTGGAGAACTGCACCTCTCAGACAATAAAGGAAATAAGATCAGTACTGGTGAAGCGGTCGGCAAAGTCCCACCAGAAACATTAGCTACCACTCTTGAAAGAAAGGTTCCATTTTCTTATACCAGTTTAAACTTTTGACAACATAGACAAATTAAATAGTATGGCCTTTTTGAAATTAACCCGTACAAAAGCCAGTCCATGCTGCTTCTCTCTCAGTAAAATCACATTCAGAGGTCGCTAAACCATTCTCTCGCAAACAGAGTAAATCTTAACCCCACAGGTAATGTGCAGGCATCTAAAGATGAGAAGAAATAATTAGGACAATTTTTGTTTTCCATTTAAAACAACACATACAGCATTAATCACAGAGGCATGCGCACACACCCGCATACACATACACCAAAAAATGCTGGAAGCAGATCATCTGTCCACAAGGACTTTGAAAATTTCAGACTTCGAGCAAATTCATGTTTCCAATAACAAAATTCCATTTGACTTCACCCTAATGGGAGACCAGCTTACAGGCCAATATGAAAGATATATAGTTTAAAAAGGTAATAGCTGGATTTCTGATTGATAAATGAGTTGCGATTCAAAATATATTCCATGGCATTTTTATTCCCAGTTGAATGGCAAGGAGGGGATGTATAACAGTATAAGGACTGCACTCTGAATTGCCTTTAAACTCACTTTACCATATTACATTAATAAGCCGATTTCCTACTGAGTAAGCTGCAGGAAAACGTTCTTTCTGCTCTTCAATGACTGCTTCCACTTTTTTCCATGTATCTGTATTTCCTCTCTCACACACGTGGCCTTTAATGTCCTTATACTCCTGCAGTACAGCCTACTACCACCATTTCTCTATTTTAAAAATGATACAAATAAATAAATATAGAAAACAACATTCATAAACTGTGTTATTGTACTTCGTTTACTCAGCGTTAGACTGCCCCAAAAGTTACTGTTCGCTTTATACAGAAAAAAAAAAAACCGTAGAGAGCACTCTGGGAAACTAGGGAGTGGCAATACGAAATACAAGGACAGGAACAGAAAAAAAATAATAAATCACACCAAGGTTCATGTAGGACCATAAAATGCTGCTTTTCTGAGCATGTTACACCAAAATTAAGTTATATTCTGCAAAAAAAAAATGCAGTATGAGGTTCTTCCATGGCTACGAGCTAGGAATTCGAAAAAGGACAGGAACCAAAGAAATATGGGAAATAAAAAAAATCCAACAGATATACTGTTTTCTGGAATAACGAAGGTGACTTAAGTGCAGTGGGCCGTAAGTGGAGGGAGTATAAGGACCGCAGCCACCGAATTTATATACACAACCCGAGACGCATGCAGCCACTCCCGCGCATGCAGCCACTCCCGCGCATGCAGCCACTCCCGCGCATGCCTGCACACCACAACTGTACACAAAGTGAATCACAAATTACAGAACATTGTTTGAGGACGATCAGAAACAAAAAAAAGCGTGAGAGTTGCGTTCGCACAAAAAAGGGATGAGTATCCGTAATAGACGTGTTGGCCGGTGCCCTTTGCTGAATCACCTTGTATATACACAGTGAGACCTCTGAGGCTATTTGGACCATAGAATTACTTTTTTTTTTTTTTTTCCTTTTTTGATTTTTAATATTATATATATATATATATATATATATATATATATATATATATATATATATATATATATATATATATATATATTAAAAAAAAGCATTTCATTAGTGAGACTTACTCTGTTACCCAGAAAGGAGCCGGCAGGGGGTCGGGGGAGGAATAAATTAGATTTCCATTTCAATGTCATAATCCAGCTGATCCTACTTTAATTAACCAGATCTCCAGAGTGCTATTATTGCTTGTTAGTAACCTCCTCGTTCGTCTTTAACGTGATGTCAATCTTCTGCGGACACGTCTCATCGCCAAGGTTTGTCAGTTATAGTGTTTCGCCGGTGTCAACAGAGGCTGGTGCTGATTGACAGTATCTGACTAGGCAACAGTAGTCAGGTGAGTAGTTGTAGCTGCAGTGAGGGCTAGAGCCCCGGCAATGACATCCTCACTGCGTCAGCTCCCACATGCAGCGTCTGTACACGCCTTCGGATTTAGACGACTGACGTTCAAAAGTAAGAAAAATCGGCACCTAAAAGTTTACATGTTTACCGTTTGACCTAAATCAATTACATGGTCGGTTAATTATGTAAGACTGTGACAGCCCGAGTTGGACGACCAAAAAGCCAGGCTCGCCAAAATTTCAACATTCAAATTCAAAACAATCTTCTCCTTGGAGACTTTTTCCACACAAGACGAAAGTTTTGCTGGGTAGAAGCTGGAGTCTGATTTAAAACACACTGCAGCAGATCCTGTTTCTTGGCTTGGATCAGCTAAAAATGATCATCATTTTCATTATTAATATATATATATATAAAAAAAATCCTGCTTCAAACCCAAAAACATCTGTCAGCTTTGACTTGGAAAATGACTGCTGTCTCAACGAGTGAGTGACGTTTTAAAAGAAAAGCAGAAAGTGTTAGTGCATTCCAATCTTGTCCATTGGTACTGTACAATACTATCGACCTGCATGGTATGTATGGCGAACACTGATAGGCCAATGAGATCCCAAGTGGCTCATATTCACAGCTGCTTTAAAAAAAAAAAACAACAACAACAATAACAACATTTGTGTCGGACAGTTTGAGTCTAGTATCTATGATCCCCCCCCAGGAAAACCCTGGGGCAGACAGTGTGCTACACTACAGTCTCCCATCCTGGCCTTTCTTGTTCTAATTCACCAAGAAAAAAATAAACAACAAATAAACAGAACTGGGAAAGATCTCCCACCAGGCACTGCAGTGGAGAGCCAATCAGCGACAAATCCAGCTGAAACTGAGCTTTCCTCACACGATGGGAAGAGGGTGGTGGGGGGAGGCGGGTAAGCCCCCTCTAAAAAGTCCCCCCATCATGCAGTCAGATCGGCTGGCCAGGACCGCGCCGGGCCCCAGACCCTGCCTTCGCTCTCCGTGAAGCGCTGCAGCGGACTGGCCAATGAGGCTCGCCAGGCAAAAGGGTCCTCCTTCAGGCTCGGGGAATCGGCAACACTTTCCTTCTCCTGGCTGGGAATCGCAAGCTCTAAAGTAGGTAACCAAGAATGAGCGCACCACCTGCAGCCTAAGACGTCCAATCAGCCGTCTATCCTCCCCCCCTCCAAGCCCCACCAAAAAATATAATTTCCTCAGAATCCATCCTGCTGGAAATTAGAAGCAGACTTGTAAAAAAATATAAATATCTCACTGTAGGGCAGCACTCCCCAGTGCTCAGAGTGTCACTCGGTTAGGAGCTGCTGCAGGAGGCTTTTCTGCTGAGACTGGGCGCTCTGGGTGGCTGCCCCCCCCTTCTGTGATGCCATGGGGCCCGGCTGGTTCAGGTAGGAGTCGCTGCCCACCAGGTTGACGGTGCACTGGACATCAGCAAACACCTGAACCTGCTGTACCTGCAGGGGAGCAGATGGCACAGCGGGAACCATCAGCCACGCTTGGTCTGGTCAGAGGGAGCCTGGTGCGCGGCCTGCTGGTCAACTGTCCATGCAGCACCAGTCCAGTTGAACTGGGATTCAGCACCATGGACAGCCACCCACCTGACCCATGCGCGGCCTGGGTCAGCAACAGGATGCCACTTTGTGACCTTATGTCTATAGACAGGGAGTCTGACCGAAACATGGAGCCTAAGGTACCAAAGCAGTTATAATGGAATGAGACTGGTCTTGCTCCAAATATCTAGATGAGTAAGTACTTAAATCTGAGGCATGCAAGAGACCATAAAATGTAAACTTCCACAGAACACTCAGTAATATGCTTCAAAGATGATTAAATTCTTACTTTCCACATTTCTAAATGTACTGGGCTGAAGCTCACATGCTGCTCACCAACCTGATCATTACACATTGGGCTGATGTTGCCCAGGTTACTGTTGCCCATGCCGACAGAAGGTCCCATGGGAGTCAGAGAGCCCACGCCGCTAGATCCACCCGCCATTGAGACGGTGATGCTCATGTTGTTGTACACGCCCTGTTGTCCAAAGGCCTGGGACGGAGTCTGTCCGGACTGGCTGTACATACTGTCAATCAACATTAATGCACCAGTCAGGCCTTCGCACTGCTTAATGTTGACATGTCCCACCCCCTCTACAGTGTTTCTACACTGCTGCCATACCTGTTGTTCCCCATGCCTCCTTGCTGCCAGCTCTTCATGTCAGGCGACTGGTAGCCCATAGAAGGCTGCGTCTGCGGGAGCAGAGGTGTCTGCGGCGTGGACATCTGTGGTGAGAGGAGGGGGCTGGTTGGGCTGAGGGCTGGTGCAAAAGGTGGCTCCCCCTGCTGGACCAAACCTGCACGAAAAAACTCAGCTGAACCACTCTGCAGGACCATGATCAGTAATTTGCACATGCTTTGCAGGATTTTGCCGGAAATGACCAATGGAGATCGTCAAGTTCTGTAGCAATTGATTTTCAGGCATAATATGCAGAACAATAAAAGCAGGTAACAATTCAAAGATAAGCTCTCTTGGATCTGTGAAAAGTGAACAGGATTGTTTCAGTGTCTCAACCTCATCTGGAGCCCACCACAAATTGCTGATTAAAACAAATTTTTATTTTTTGTCTTTAGAGGTTGTAATGACTGTAGACACCACAGAAATTACATCTGCATCTGATTTTCACCCAAAAACACATCACAGAATAGTTCATTAAATTCCTTCATTCAATAGTATAATATTCTTGGCCATACTTTTTACAGCTCAATAATTCCCCAAAAGTGTTAAGGCTCCAATTTCAATATGTCTGACCCAACCAGGGCTTATAAAATGAAATCTGGAAAGTGTCATGCAACTCTGGTGGCAATAAGCTCAATGACATCACCTGGCTTCCTCCTTCATTAACACTGTTCTGTGGATTTGCTTAATGGACATTCTTTTCTTTTTAAGATCTGAACCCCAGGCTCGCTAGACTCTGTAATACCCCCCCTCCCCCCCAGGGGGTGTCAGTTTTGTTGCGTCGGCTGTTTTTCAGTCCAGAACCACCCAGCGAACGCAAGACCCGAAGACCTCGCCGGGCACCTACTTCCGATCTGAGCGATTCGATTTCACGGAACTCACACAACACAGCTAGTGGCGGCCAACCTGCCCACATTCGGCAGATGGTCTGGCGCTAATTTCAGACCGTGTGCACAGTAAACAACATTAGAACAAACACTGCTGCTCATGAGGTGTAACACCTTTACCCATTAAGCAGAAGGTAAATATTTACCCCTTTCATTTCAGAAATATGTGGGTGACCTGTGTGAGAGAACACTAATACCCGTGAAAGAAAACATTTTAATTTTTTTAAGTGCTCATAAGGTCATTTCGTTCCTGGCAATAAAACGTGATAATATTGTTACTGATGGTGCATAAAAAAATGACTGGTAGCAAGAGAGCAGACTCACCTGCTCCTGCAAACTGCTGGAAGGGGGCGGGTTGTACTGCGGAGTTCACCACGCCACCAAACTGGCCCTGCATGCCTCCCATTATACTCTGGGATACCACAGGCCTCCTGCTGCCCATCTTGGGGTCTGTCGGCACCCCTCCCATGGGATTAAAGTTGCCGGGTGAGCTTGGGGGGTTTCCTGGCCCGGGGCTGTAACCTGTGGGGTAGGCGAACTGCGGAGGTTGCTGCTGCTGAGGCTGCTGGGGGCCCTTGGGGCCCCCCATCGGCCCTGGCGCCATGCCCTGCCTCATCAGCATGGCCTTCTGCTGCAGGAGCTGCCTCTGGCGGTGCTGGAAGCTGTAGAGCTCCCGCTGCCTCTGCGCCATCATCTGTGCGTTCAGCGGTGGCTGGAAAAACAGAGGATGGCGAGTTGCATTTCACATGAAGGCCAGTAGGTGGAGCGGTAGTTAAAAGGCTCTCGTCAACCTATGAGGGATTTTACTTTGCGTATATCCTATTTTATTATCATGAAAAGTTTTGTTTTATCTACTTGGACAACAGGCTGCTGAAGGTTGCAGCAAGACAACAGCAAGAGCCTCTCAGATTTCATAACTGCTGCCTTGAGATACGAGCTGCTTCAGAAAAACTGCACAGCAGCACAAAAAAAGTCAGGAGGACTGTATGATAAACAATTGTGTCCTTTGGTAGAGCAGAATGGAGTAAAATAGCAGTGCTTCACTCATTCCAGGGGTAAAATAGTGTAGTTTTGTCGTATCCCATCTTGCTCACCATTACAGAGGTAAGCACACAAATGATAAACACACAAATGAGGCAAAAAAAAAAAAAAAACAGTCCGGCCCCCGGTATCTTCACACCTGCGAGGGCATCTGGGGCTGCTGCATGCCCTGTCGCATGCCCATGGCAAGATGCCCTGTCCCTGGGAACTGGCCGATAGCTGCCATCCTGTTCTGGTGCACGATCTGGAAGGGGAGCACGGGGACACGGGGCAGGCTTTCACTCATTCTGTATCGCCATTTCACAGAAATTCACAAATATTCTGCTCAAGTCGTTTGTTTTCAGCTCATTTCTTGCATTTCATGAAAGAATGATGCCAAATTACTCAAAATTCATTACACTCAAGTACTTTGATGCCATGTTAAAATACAATTTCTATGGTTCTCAATCAGTGGATCACGACCGGAGGGGCAGGAACAGGACTGAGAGCCATAGAGATTCAGACCAGGAACAGGATGGAGAACCATAGAGATTCAGGCCAGGAATAGGATTGAGTACTATAGAGATTCAGGTTTCCCCTACTGGAGCTTGTGAGAACTGCGCCATGCGGCATGGCGACCTGTGCTGTTGTCTCACCTGCTGCTGGCCTTGCAGCCTCTGCTGTAGCTGCATCCTGAGCTGGTTGGGCACTCCCTGCGCCCGCGGCACGCCTGGCCGCAGTGCCATGCCCATGTTCCCAGGGAAGGCCCCACGGGGCGAGCAGAAACTCATGCTCTGCTGCTGCGGGCGGCTCACGTCCTGCGGGAACTGTGAGGAGCCAAGAGGGAACTGCGGCTGGTACGCAGGCAGCTTAGGGTCCATGGGCATGGGGTTGGAGGGCAGGGGCTGGGCAGGGTACTGCTGGGACAGGGGGTCCAGGCAGCCGCCCTGGGGGAATGACAGCAACACCAGCACACGTGACCCATCGCACCCGACAAACAGCCTGTTCACCCCCTTTCCGTCTGGGAAAAGGTTCTGGGATATTCAGTCTACCATCACCACCAAGCCCTGCATCTGTTCATCCCAGTACCCATGACAGCCACTCCATGTCAATCAGGCTCCCACCTACCCCAAAACACTGACATCAGTCTGTCCATTTGCAGTCTGCTGTTTGCAGTCACTGTCCTGCACCACTGCTTACTTGCATTTCATTGCTGATGTCATTGTATAATTATGTGTACTGTCGTGTATTTTTAATTAACCCCCCCCCCCCTAATATTTCTTGCTCAACTGTTCTTTTCCTAGCTGTCTGAACTTGACAACAACATGGCTGGTTAGTTCTGGTACCGTCAGTACCCATGGCAACCACTTCAAGGCAACCTATGAGGGATGTATGCCATACCAGGCAGGGGGGGGGGGGGCGTTTTGATGTGACGTCACTGTGCCATCGTACAGTACGCTAGGCTTTACAAATGTTTTACACCGGGCCACTTGCTTTCCTGTCTCCGGGAAAGTACAGGTCAAGATTTCGCCCATAGCACACAACCCTTGTAACTACGGCAGGTTTCTGCAGGCCGTTTTCCATCCATCAGTACTGGATACTTGGTACAAAGACAAAGAAACTTATTACCCAACACTAACCTAACAATAACAATTACAGCCCAGTCTAACACTGATTTTGCTGTCCCGTCCCATTCTAAATCCCAGCCTCCGTCTAGCGAGCTGCACGGGCATGATATCTATATCCTCATGTTCACCAACAAACCAATAATACAGCGCAAAAGTAAATTTAATATCACAATTATTAAATTACTGACTTGGCGCTTATTCAAACCAAATTATCCAAGCATTTTTATTGTGAAGGGGGGAAAAAAAACCCCGCAGAATTCATCTGAAATTCGCAAAAAAAAAACATTGCACAGTAGCGCATTTCTTGTGTATTTAGACAAATTACTCTTCAGCTGCCCTGTGCAGCCCAGGCTACACAGCACCAGCTGGTGTTGGGGTTAGAACAAATAATTTAACAGAACAAAATGACTTATAACTAATATAGCAGATGTAAGAATATGCATATATGAGCAATCTCATTACAGTTAACGTGGTGTTACCATACAATTTATAACCATTCCTGCGGGAACGCCGTAAAGATCATCTCCTTTCCAGCCGTTACTGCGGGAATGTTATTTTTTCCTCCCATTCCCACAGATTACTGTGTATATCTGCAGTATTATCACTTTCCCCATTCTCACGCAGCCTTCCACCTCCAACCACACCCCTACCCCACTCCAGACCAAACCCCCAGTACCAGCTACACCCTCAGCTGTGACACCACCCACAACCCACAACGCACCTGCACCAGCTTATCGATGCCCAGTGCTCGGTCCAGTTCCGCCAGCTCGCTCTCGTCCGTGCCACTCAGGAAGGACACTAACTGGTCCAGCAGGGCCTTCTCATCACTGCGTCCCTCTGGGGTGGTGGGGGGGCACAGCATGTCATCCAAGGTGCTGGGGGTGCACTGCCTGCAAAGTTAGCGGAGCACAGAGAGGATGGAGTCTGAGACATGCGTGCCAGGCCCAGGTCCACAGTGCCAGGCCGGTCGGTGGGCATACGCACTCCTGAGTAGGCAGAGGAGCCTGAGGGGCCCCTCCCATGGCCGCGTCAAATGGCATAGGCTCCGTCAGACCCACTGGTGCAAACGCCTGGGGGCTGGTTAGCTCCAGTTTGGACACCCCTGCGGGGGAAGGGAATACAGTCAACGGCATTCTGGGTCCCAAAAAGCCATGCAGCTTGCAGTCTCTGCTTCAGGAAGCCACTCTAATGGAGGCTAATGAGGCTTATAAAAAGGCCTGCTTGTCTGAAAGTAGAACGCCAGGAATTGCCGTGGCCCTCTGGGATCAGGACATCACCGAGGAGCTCGGAGGAACCTGGCGCGATCCAGCGGAAGACAGAACCGGAGGAGCGACAGGTACCTGCATCGCCGCCGCCAAAAGGCGCACCGTGAGCCGGGTCCGGAAACGGGCTGCCGCCTTTGCTAGGCTGGAACGGGTCCGGCTGACCCCGGCTGGGGGTGGATGGGCTGCATAACTCGAAAGACGGCTGGAAGACGGAGCCGTCACCAAACCCTGCGGGAGAAGCCGCAAAGAGGCGCCGTGAGACAGAGCGGGAGTCGGGAGTTTCCTCCCACTGGCATGATCCGGTCCGGTCAGGCCTCTTACCGCGGCTCGGTGTGCCGGGCAGCTCCTGCTTCATGCTCACACCCTTGGGAATGTTGGTCTCTGGAGGCTGGGATGCGGCGGGGTCCTCCGGCTGCCTGGCCACGGGAGTCGTCCTCTGCGGCGGGGGCACTAGCTGATTCAAGGCGTCCAGGTCAGCGGCGGAAAACTGCGATACAGAGGGCGAATGTCAGTACTGCATGTGTGGGGTACAGCCCATCACACCAGGGACCGGGGGGTCCGTACCGGGTTGGCGGGCTGGTCTCCAGGCTTTGGAGAGCTGGTGGTGCCGCAGGTCCCCTCCCTCTTGACCTCGGTCTTGACCCGTACCGTCTGCAGGGAGAGGAGGGACGGAGGTGGCAGGTTCTCCAGGTCCTTCTCGTCCGTGTCCAGGAGGAAGCGTAGCAGCTGGTGGTCCTGTGGCGGATCCTGAGATTCCCTAGCGGGGCTGGCGGGCCTCTCCTTTTTAATTTCCGCGTCCTTCTGTGCGGCACCGACGGCCAGGCCAGAGTCAGACCCGCCCTCGCTGGGCTCCGTGGGGCTGCTGTCCTGTAGGAGGCGGTGCAGGATCTTGTGCCGCTCCGTCAGCGAGCTGTGGGAGGCCGGGCACGAGCCGGTCACCGGGGGCGAAGCCGCTGCAGACGGGACGCGCTCGGCCGGACGAGCGGCGCCGTTGTCCAGGAGCTGGTTCAGCAGCTTGGGGTTGCCGAGCGAGGGCGGGGCCTTAGCGGCATCCTCGGGGGGGCCCTCGGGCGGCTTGGCGGGAGGGGGGCGCACCGGAGAGCTGGCTGGGGTGGCACCCTGCCTCTGAGGTCGTGGTGAGGGAGTGGAGAAGCCCAGGGATGCCCCGGTCCCCTCGCAGCCCGATAACTGCCGAGTGAGGCCGCCTCCGCTTCCGCTCGCTGCTCCCGCGGGGGAGTGCAGGCCTGGCGTGGAGGGCGAGAAAGGGTTCCCGGGGACCCGCGGACTACCCCCGAGGCCAGGGCTACCCCGTGGCGGCCTGGGGGACATGAAAGAGGTAGGGGTCGCCCCCAAGGGGCTACTGAGAGGAGAGGGGCTGTTGACCTGCTGGGGGCACATCCTGTTGGGGGTCAGGTAGCCGGCTGAATGGCTGGTGGGCGTGGCCGGCCCGGTGCCGCCGCCGTTAAGTTGCAGGCCGAGGCCCGCGGCCTGGTTGAGGTCACTGCTGGGCTGGACAGCAGGGGAGCGGGAGGGTTGGCCAGGAGTCGGACTCCCGTGCTTTGGAGGAAGGCTGGGGGTAGTGTTTTCCTGAGAGCTAGCAGTGTTGTGTTCCCTGCAGGAGGCACACAGGTCCCTGTGAGCACACGCCCCCCATCACCGCCGCGAGGTTGGCGATGCGCATGACGGACGCGGTCTGCCGGTGGGCACCCTACCTGTCGATGGTGTGGATGCCCATGATGAAGGGCTGCACGTCGGGGTTGGGGGGGCAGCAGAAGCGGCAGCGGGTCTGGGCGCTGAGCGTGGTTCCGTCGCTGAGGGTGAAGCGGTACACGGGGCTGATGGCCGTGCCGTGGGTGATCACTGAGCACACACACAAATGCATGGAAAGATGCTCAGAATGACAACTCCGGGCTTTTATACCACTGCCCCTCATATCTATCTCCACACCAACAGGTGGCGCCACAGAGCTGTGGCAGCACAGGTCAAAATGACACTTTACATTGACCAAGCTTATCCTGTACACCTCAGAAAAGATCCCTGGCTTTTAAGCTAATAACTGGCTCCGCCCTCCATGGCTCGGACCGGTGGTATCTAGGCCCTTCAGTCTCACCCTCGTGCAGCATCTGCTTGGCGTGGGATGGGTCCTTCCCCTGCGGCTGGAAGAAGGCATAGATGCACTTCCGTACCAGGTCCTCCCAACCGGGCCGGCCTGTGGCCCTCAGTGCGCTCGTCTCTATGGAGATGATCTTCCCTGTGGGAGGGGTGGGGGGAGCTCACAGTTAACACACAATGTGACTGTATCAGCGGTGGAGTCAATTCAAAGAGACATTTCACAAGGACAGTGTTTAGGATCTGCACGAGCAATGCTGCAGCACACTCAACTTTCCTCTGGACAATGTCTGCATGTCAGTGCTTATTTCTTGTTAGACTCTCGCACTACCTGCCAACTGTACACCACAGATTGTAGTTACATTGACATTTAGCATCATGCCAACAACGAGGACTATATTCATGCTGGGCAATACTGCATTTCACTGAGCATTATACCAAGTACAATTGTGAATGAGACAAAAACGACTTTGAAACTTCAAACAGGGAATGACAGTCATTCTGATCATTACAGGCTGACCTCCAGCACCATCAGAGATACCGGAGATAAGAAAACGGTCCCGGACTCATTCCCTCATCACGTTCCCGACAATCCGCCGCACGGCAGCCCACCTGTGGGGTCCTGCTTGGTGATGAAGGACTCTGTGTTGACCGGGATCTGCTGGGAGCGAGGGGAGCGACAGGCGATGCAGATGAGGCAGCTCTGGAGGTCTGCGCAGACGAAAGGGATGGGGGGGGGGGGTTAAGGACTTCGCTGAAGTAGCTAACATCCTTTAGCACAGACGGTAAACCAGATTAAGGCAGCACTGAAGTACTATGACCAGCCTGGTGGGATGTATGGAATAAAAGGTGTGCAGGTCTTCACAAACATGACATGGCAAGTAGAAAATGCTTTTATACACTAAGAAATGAAAAGTCATAAGGGGAGACTTTTCCTGGGCGCCTGAGGAGAAGCAGACAGCGGGCTGCTCGGAGGCTCACCCTCGCCCTCCTCGTGTACCGCCCGGGGCTCTGGCACGGTGAAGCACTGCATGACCTCGTACTGCTGCCGCGCTTCCAGGTTCTCCGAGTCCACCTCGTCTGGCGGCCGCTTCAGCATCCGGCAGTTAAAGGTGTGGCCGTTCCTGCGCGCACTCTCCTGCGGCCAGGGCACCCCGTTTACTGCTCGCGTGGGTGGGGGGAGATGGAGAAACACATTAGGGGGGGGTCGTCCAAAGCATATACAGCACCGAAGGCCCTGTTGTCTGTTTCTGTGCACTAAGCCAATGTCATGTTAACTGTATGTGTAGCCTGTCTGGTGAGAGTTCCAGGACATTCTCTCTCAGCACTTCCTAATTAAATAATTAGATTTACTAATTAATTTAGTAATCCCAAGCTGGTTGTGAGGGCAGGAAAGAAATTCAGTGGAGGCCAGAATTACAGACTCCAGCATGAGAGTTTGAATGGTCCAAACCACATGTGGGCGTCGTCACTACCCACCCCAAAGTGATGGGGGGGGGGCTTACCCAGGCTCTTGGGGAGCAGGTTGCGGACGAAGTCATTGTGGTCGCCCACGTGCAGGATGCTGTAGACGCTGGAGGTCATCAGCTCCTCCTGCGTGTAGCCCAGGTAGGCCGTAACATTCTCGGAGACGAAGACGATCCGGCCCTCGCGGTTCACCACGAAGAAAAAGCCATCCAAGGCCTTGGGGAACGACACAAACAAACACACAGACACAGACACATGTTGAGATTGAGATTAACCCACAAATTCTCCCTGCATTTTCCTTATTTTACACAGCAAAATAAATTTCCTTATTTTACATTGAAGGCAGATTAATTTTCCCTATGGCGATCCAGGTTCCTCACTAATGAGCCTTATTCCCCAGTGTAACACCTCACTGCTGTTAGGCACGCGAGACCCTCACTGACCTCCAGCAGAAGAGGACCCAGGGCCTCCTTCTCCATCAGGGCCTGGCTGCTGGACGACACGTCGCTCTTCTGCACGTCATCCTCCATCAACATCGCTGCCTTTTCTGCAACAGGCCGATAGGCACGCGTGCCCACACACACACACACACACACACACAGGCTGTCAGAACAGATCCCATCAGCTCCCGCATCGGTTTCACGAAGTCAGAAAGGCCCACATACTGCCGAAGGCTACAACTTATACACCACAACAGGCAACAAGCGAATCAGCGCCAAAGCATGGTGTGATCGTAATTACCCGTAAAGTCAACTGTGACGTGAGGGCCAACTGACCCGAGTTCATGCATAAAGCACAAATCAGGCATGTGGAAAAGGAGGCGGAGCAGAGACAAGCAAGAGACAGAGGGGTCTACAGGTATTTCTTTGAGCTTATTCTGCCATTTCCACGCCTCTCGGTTTTCATTTGCATTATGCATTTTCATTTTATACAAGTTATGGCTAGCAGTGCTGACCGATAAATCATATTTTCATAGTCATCGTGATACAAACATGCACGATAAACATATCACAACCCATTGCCATGTATAAGAAAAATCATTTTGTTTACACATGCCACACATTCACGCTCATCATGGACAGTTTTATTGGTTATAACCCTATATTTGGATCCATAGCAACAAGTTTTATTCATTATCATATATAAAATACTAGGGATTGGCTGATCAACATTTTGTCAGTTCTGATCCGATTACAATACACAACGGCTGATACCGATACCAATACAAGACCTATTTTTACTTTAATATTTTTATAATAAATATAATATATACATATTCATACTTAATACACTAGTAATATTGTTAACTAGTAAATACAAATGAAAAAAAGGCATTAAAAGCTTTAATTAGGCTACTAGAAACATACATAATGTACTAACTTCGTTCCACCTCATTTGTACATCTTGTTTTTAGCATTTTTGAGGCATTTGCAGTTAGATTCGAATATCTTCCAAGCAAGGAAACGCAAGGATAAGCAGCCCCTCGTGTATCGCGATTTTCCACTAAATGCTACTTCCACCTCTCAAAACTTTGTTTTTACAAAGATTGCAAACTGTTGTGCTACTAGCTGTTGTTAAAAGACTGAAATACTTCTAGATCGTCACCCCCTTATCCAATGTTCTTACACTCTTCCTGCTGCAAAGGGTATGCACATGACGTCATAGATGGCGGAAGTCACTGCACTCACACCCACTGAGTGGACTGAGCTTGAGTGGCAGTGTTAGCATTCAGCTTGAATACCGCCAAAATATCTCTAAAGTGGGAAAGAACCGTTGTGCGATTGATTGTACAAATTAATTTAACAAGAAGTAGGAGCTCTCTTTACACACTACATTAGTATAGGGTGTGGATCGGTCACATATGGCCGATACCCGATCTGTCAAATAGATATGGATCGGCGCCGGTGCTGATCTGCACGTCTATAAGATACGTTTACCAATGTTTTAAAAAATGTGTTTTTATTCGTTATTAGATATGGCCAAATATATTTTTTCTGGTCCAATCCCGATACGGATATTGAAATTTTGAGTATTTGCCAACCACAGTACCAATCTGATATTTTTTCTCCTTCATGAAAAACTAAGCATTATATAAGATACGTACCAATACATTTCAATAAACAGAGCAAGCTACCTGCATTTAGTGTTTGTAGCCGCGCTGTTTGAATAACTAAGAACTGGAAAATCCAATGGTCATGTTGCTTAAACAAAAGCTATGCCACTACAGTACAGGAAAAAATCCACAGCCAACATGATTTACACAAAATCTGCTTCTTTGTTTTATTTAGTAACAGAAGTATTTCTTAAAGTGCTAATTGTGCAATCTGCTGACTGATTAAATATGATAAAAAATCAAATCATAAAAATATCACTGCATACCCCAACTAACCATTTCTAGTTAAAACGGTCACAACTCTGCACTACAAATTGAGCACTTTTAAGTAGTAATTAAGCAAACTTTAGAAAGACTACACGTCTGAAGACCTCTGCTTAGAATACATTTTGCTGTGTTCAGGCATAAGGAAAATCAGCAGTAGCTTTGCATACAGTGCAGTTTTACTTTTTCTTCCTCTTTCAGCATAAAGTACCTCCCTCCACATTCGAGAGGGTTTAGGGGTTCCAGCAAATGTGAAAAATCACAAATAATACTTGGGCAGCCCTAACCTCAAACCAAAACAGTCGGCTACCCTGAATAATAGCATAAAAAGTCTATTTATTACCAATTTCTAAACGGCATTGTGCTGTACGCTTTGCATGACAAATTACTTTGTCATTTCATATCAAGACCATGTTCACAGAATACACACACACACCATCTAAATTATGCCCCTGTACTGCTTTATGCACCGGGAGCACTATGTTTTGGACTCATTATTAAAAATGCAAAATTAACGACACCGAAAAGTTTAAAAGCTACTGCAAGAAACACGAGATTCCGTTGTCACAGAGACAGCTAACACGTGAATGCGGCTGGCTGCTGAGACAAAGGTGTGGGACGTAACCTGGCTAAGACTTTAATATCAAAAGATGTAGCATGCACTTAAACTAATAAAAAACATATATTATTAAAATTTATATATTACGTGATTTTAAATGCTAAAATCATTTTCAGTATTGTTTTTGGCTTACGCCCCCACCCCCATATCGAATCCAGCATTTTTGCTGGTATCGGCTCGATACGGATAGTGGGATCGGTGCCATCTCGATTAATTATTATTAAAAATCAAATACATTTAGCTTGATATTACAACCGACACATTATATTATGGTTTAACAGACCTGTTTTATTAGATTATTATTGTATATTCAGGTCCTTGGTGACTGTAATGGAAGACATTAGTCATAGTAAGCTGCCATGTTTAATCTATATTTAATTACTGAAGTTGTTTTCTGACAGGTTTATTTCAAGAGATGTTTTGCTGAGCTTAAGAATTTTTTTAAAGGGAGCAAGAGAAAATAAATTAATTTCTTATAGGCAATGTTTTATTTATATAAATGTTTGATTTAATTAGTTGGGTATTCATGTATGATTTGTTCAATAAAAGCATGTTAAAATAGTTTTACATTTCTTTATTCAGTGGGCATGGGCAATTCAATGCTTGCGGTCTATGTTACCAGTGCACCTATTAAAGCAGAAGACGTAGAAGCTGTAACTTCAATATTTATCGCAAGTCGTCATCGCAGATTTTTTTTAAGGAAATTTTAGCCTTGGTGACCTGCCACACTTTGAGGTCTGAGGCCCTTGCTCTTTCGGTAAGTCCCATCGGCTGGAGAATAACAGGCACCTGGTACCAAAGCCCTGTCTGGCATGTATTACCAGGGTGCAAAGGTTGGGGGGAGGGGCCCAAACATGCAACATGGTGCTTACAAACCATAGAACCACAGCTTAAAACACGGCCGTCAGATCGACATATCATAATGAGTCATGTATGGCTTTTAATAGGCTTGAAAACGGATATGGGGAGGGGGGATCCCTGCAGAAGCAATTGTATTTTTTTAATAAAACATCAGGGGTTCACTGCTGCGACTTCAATCAAGGTACTCAAACCATTTTACAGAATAAATCAGCTGAAAAACAAGAAATGGTATAATTACAAGCTACTTCAAAAGAATGCATACATTTACTTAAATTTAGGGCTGGAATAACAAGCAAAGCGTACATCCATAACCTGTTAAAGTACGGATTCACTGCGCAGTTCCTTCAAAGACGAATGCTCTTTAAGAGTGGGAATGTTTTATAATGCGATAACATGCAGAGCAGACTGCCTGCAGCGGCCGTACCAGTGTAACAAGGTTAACTGGAAGTACAGGCTCACCCAGTCTCGGTCACGAGCTGGGAAACTACATGAATGCCTCGGACTTTTGGCTGGAAATATCTGGCCCCCACCTCGCACCCTTTCTGTCAGCCTCCCCCAGCTTCCGCCAAAAGTAAACACTGGCCGCTGCTACTGCACTGTGGGGGCCCTGAATTTCGATAGCTGGGGTGTTTTTCTGGCACCGGAGTGCAAAGTCACGTTTGCCCACAAGCAGTGGTGCTCCTGGCCTGCATGCGTGTGAAGCACAATATCTATGCACTTTTTCCATTTTCATTTATTTACTTCTTTTTTTTTTTTAACTGGCATTATTCAGCAGAAGCATAGAGAGAAAGGAGAAAAATACAGGCTGCGACTCATACCCTAGGAAAGGGAGAGAGAAAGAGAGAGTGAGGGAGAGGACGATCGGAGGGGGGAGGGTCGGGGAGGCAGTAGGCAGTGTGTGCGCTTGGGGCCCCAGTCCTCCAGGTCAGGCTGTGGCCGTCATTGGCTCCCTACTTCTCACGCCCCCCGCCCCCATCCGGCCTTTGAAACGAAAACAGAGCGCAGAGTGGGGTGGGCCCAAAGCGGCATGCCATGGGGACAGCGGGTGGGCGGGGGCGGGGCCGGAGCCGGGGGCACCATATACTCACTCCACCTTCCCTCTGCAGGGATTCGAACATAAACAGGGGATCTCTTTCAAAGCTTTCTGCTGCGCAACAGCACCAAGGCTAGAGAGAGAAGCAGGGAGAGAGGGAGAGAGAGGAATGGGGGGGGGGGGGAGGGGGGGGGGGGGGGGGGGGGGGGAAGGAGAGGGAAGAAAAAACCCTCAATCTCATTAAGGCGACTAGAGGGAAGGAGAATAATGGAGAAGTTAAATACGGAAAATGAAATAAAATCACGCATCTGGCACTGGCCCAGAACGAGCCTATGAAAAGTCACATGGCACCGCCTGCTTTCCAGTGTGCCTCCCTCACATTCGCACTGCACAGCACTGCAAAACACAAACCTCACACCTCGGTGCCATTACGCACGGAGATTACCGAACAAGGTCTGTGCCCGTAAAGGTGCGAGTCCAACGCCCCCAAAAAAGGCTGCTGCCGTTTCACCCTCGAGCTAAAGACCGCAGCTATTCAGACACACGCAGTTTCTTGTAAGGTGATGAAGGTGAGGGAACCAGGGGGCCGTGCTGACAGTGAGAATCCCGCTGTGACACAGATTTGGTGCCCGGCGGCTCAGCTATAGCAAGCATCAGTATCATTAAAAGTGGCTTCAGGATAAACGGGTGACACGTCAAACGCTGAAGAGGATGGGCGTACAGTGCCATACCAAGACACACGGGCCGTGATCTAAATCTGACCGGGAACATAAAAATGACCCGCGAAACCACACATACATTCTCTGGATGCCAACACCATTCACACTTTATGCAGTACATGTGCTCTAGAGAAAAACAACAACAGCGAAGTATTTTACACTGTTTGTTACTATAGGTGCCCACTGCAGATTAGGCCTGGGAGGTCGAACTTCATTATTCGAATAAATGAGTTTTTTTTTTTTTTTTATATTTACATATTCAACAGCATGACGTCTGCATGCCAAGGAGGGGCAGAGCAGCGGCGGTGGGCAGACAGGCCTTTGCTCTTTATCTAATATGTTTTTCTTGCCATTTAATGCAGAATAAGGGGTCTGATTAGCTTCTAGCCAGAAGAGCCGAAGCTAGTCAGCAAGTAACTAGTGATATAATGTATGAATTACAAGAAGAATGTGACGAGACAGTGACTCCCGAAAACCTGAACAGCAGAGTCTGAAAATGGTTTGAGTCTTGCGGCGTAAATGGAGAGATTGAACAACATTGACACTGCAGCATGTAACTGCATGATGTCATTTACGTTTTAAGATATTTTATGTACATTGATATATGTTAGCTGTCTAATGTCAGTCATTTGATATTTAACTACAAGCCATAATTTACAACTTCATTGTTGCTGCTCTTTTGTTCAGCTCATTAAGGTACTGTGGCGCTGTGCAGGGCTGGGGAATACCCAGAGCATCTTGGGCAACCCGGCACAGTGCCAGTTTTAAATATTTGTAAATAATGGGATGTAAACCGTGTGTATTGTGCTGTACTTGTACTGTCATGTGTACATGAATACGCTGTATTCTGTGATTGTCATAGATGGTGTAGGTGCATGTATGAGCTACAAGGGATTAACCTACTCCAGGACTGGTTGGAGTAATAAAAACATTTTGACACTACAAGTGCAGTGTGCAAATTTGGCTATCAGGAGCATAGCCAGCACTGCCATTATAATATGCCAATGCAGAGGCAGACTTTTAACGTTATGCTTTTGTTAAATTCTGCTATACAAGAAGCATTTGTGTTTGTATTGAGTATTATATGTAACATAATTGTATCTGTTTCCTATGTATTGGTTTCCGGACGGAATGCTGTGTTGAGGGGAACGGGGGAGAGAGAGAGAGAGTAGGGAGTCAGAGAGAGTACAGTGAGTAGGGAGTTAGAGAGAGAGTACAGTGAGTAGGGAGTTAGAGAGAGAGAGTACAGTGAGTATGGAGTTAGAGAGTGTGAGAGGATAGTGTAGCTATGTGTCTGGAGCCAGCATTTGTTGTAAGCTAAAGAGAACTTGCTTACTACAACTGTATCCTGATTTCTCTATCCACATCTAGGAGACTTAGAGAAGCATTACTTATCAATAAAATCTTAGGGTTAAACTGAAATTGGCTGCAAATTTCTGCAGCTTCACATGGATCTAGGGACCATATGCGATAAATAGGCTACCACATTTTGGCTGGCATTCCAATCCCGTAGGTAGCTAAACAAATTTTTAAAAATTATATATTGCCGTTTTCTCGTCATTTTCCTCAATGGTGCGCTAACCTTGAAAGTGGTATCTTTTATGGTCCGTTGCACACAATGGGATTAGACTACTGTGCGCCGATGGGCTAAGCCTGTAGTATAATACTGTAATTATTCAAATTTCTTCGAAGGATAAATGCTATATTGTAGAAATTCAAATGCCTTTTTGAAAGAAGTTTCCCATTTCTACTGCCAATACTTCATATTAGGATCTTCTTTAGTGCCTGTGTCTAGAATTATTTTCATTACTGCTTGTGCACACAATTAACAGACAGCATTACTCAGCATGTTTAGAACACAAGCAGGATCAGAGGGCAAAGACACTACTGCCTTCAAAATGTCACGGTGCTCCAAATACAAATTTGAGGCAAAATATTTTTGACAAACAGCCATTGACAACATGAGACACTTCAAGCCTTTGGCACGTGTGTGACACTGACCACCGGTGAACAGAGCTTTACATTGGAATTCCCCAGGTAGGGTTAGGGTTACTAGTTGATAGCAGGCTGCAGGGAACCAGAAGCTGTATCGGCATGAACCCCGGATCTCAAAGACTGTTTGTGGCATTTTAATTTAAACGGAACCCCTTTTCTCACTTCATATCCCATTCCACAAGGAACGCATGCAATACGGAATCCCTATACAACCACTATGTTCAGCAAAATAAAAATCCATTCTTTGAGGGAAAGCCTAGAAATACCGAAATTCTGAGTTCCCCAAGGTTTTAGCACCTTACTTTTACTTGAAAAATCAGAAATTGATGTTGGCTGCAAAGTAAACCCTGCGCTGTCTTGACGGCGCATCTATCTGGCCCCCGTCTCATACTCTGTGCTTCCTGGGAAGGGCTCCAGGCTCACAGCAACCCTCAGCTGATTCATGGCTTTTGAGAGGCGGATGGATGAAAATCATTCATACAATGAAAGCACAAGCCCTTAAAATGCTCAGGATCGGAGGTCATGGAGATCCCTGCCTTCTAAGCGTCACAATGCACCATTGCAGCCAAGTTCATCTCAAACAGCAAAGCTGCCATTCAGAAAGACGGCAGGCAACTGCTGACCTGATTACTTGGAAATGTCAGTTTATATATACAGCGGTACCGCGGTTCTCGAACTCATTAGAACCAACCAGTTCGAAAAAAAATTACTTAGAGCTCGATCTGAATCTCAGAAGTCAAACCGTGAACGCCGACCTAAGATAACTTGTATGCGTGGGGAAATGAATCACGCGGCACATCTCTCAGCAGAAACAAAGGGTAACGCTTCAGTCTCAGCCTCGTGTTCGCTGTGATAGCAACGTGCATGTTTACACTAACTGAATACATAAATTTAGACAGTAAAAATACATTTAGACAATGATAGACAGTAACAGTAATTATCATATAATAAAATACATTTAAAAATAAAGATTTCTTATTCATTATTTTAATATTAATAATAAACCATTAATACATTTAATTATAATAATATTGTCGTGCTGAGCGGGGACGGAACGGAGACAAAGGCGCAGACGTCAGGGTATCGGGGAATACGGAGTTTAATTACAGGTAAGGCAGGCAAAACGCAGACGGACAATACAATGACTGGACTGGGGAAACAAACTGAAACGTGGACTAAATATAGAGGACTAATGCCAACAACCAGAAACAGCTGATCACACGGGGATTCCACACGGGGTTAACGAGAGGGCGTGGCACACAGAAGGAGCGGACGATCGGGGCAGGAGACATTGTTTGGATACATTTATTTTCTTACTTTACCAATTACTGTTTTGATAAATGTGCTTAGATGTCTTTAGCACAGTATATGCCCTTCTTGTTTTATCCGGTTCATTTTGTGTTTAAATGCTACAAAAAAAAAACATATTTAGGTGTATATATATAATTTTTATATATCTCAACCCACACAACATGCAGTATATAATTCTCTTTATGAAGTCACCAAACTGAACATGAATCCTAATAAACTAGGAAGTTATTTGCAATTTTTCCTGTAAGTAAATTCCACTCAACCAGTCTAGTAATGAATTTTCCAATGCCTTCATAAATCCCAACAAATACATTACATAATGACTGCTACCCATTCATCACAACTCACTGGAAAGTGGCGGGAGGGAGAAAAATGCGGACTGTCGGGGGGGGGGGGGGGGCTGAGGACCGGTTTCAGAAACACTACTAAAGACCCATACTCCCAAACTCAGCCATCCTATTCAGCCCGACCCACTTAAGGCTACGCCGTGGCGCTGAACACAGTAAACCTGTTGGCTGGCTCAGGTTCTGCAGCCACACCAGAGGAACCTCGGCTGGGCGTGGCTAAACGTGGCCCGAGTCTGGGCTCTGCAGGAAAGGCTCATGCAGGAGGGCAAAACAGGAAGCTGATGGCTGCAGCGGAAGGTCGGCAAGCTTCGCTGAAACCGGCCCCAGATTCAAAATCCTCCGGCCCGGTTTGTCAGAATGGGAAAGATAAACATCACTGAGAGGGACGGCTGCAAGCAGCTGACTTTTATAGCACATTCACACCACAGGGGATTAAAGCTTAAATCGACATCTTAAGCACTGATAAGGCTTTTATGACTTAATATATTGCACAGTTTGTTTATTCACCGTTTAACATAATACAATGACAAACATTACCAGTGAGCCTGAACAAAGTATTTTTACGACACATTCCTCTCTTATTCCATTAATCTCCGACGAGGAGAACAAATGTTGGCATGAATGATACTGTGCAAACGGAAACAAAGCACGAGCTGCCACACAGGAGGCCTGGCATGTTCGCCGATGACTTCACCAATCATTAGCCACTCAACCTCTCGATTCATTGTGCGTTCTGGTTACTCATGGGTGGATGTTGCACGGCAGTGTCGCCTGAAGGCGAGCGGCGCCTTGTAATTCTCAGGCGTGATGCAGTCCACTCTTCCGCGTTCCCGAGACACCGTCTATCTTTTAACCAGCTGCCCCGGTATGTTTGGAGCTGTCACCGAGCTGTTAACAACTCCAGCTGCAAAATAACGTGCATTTTCGTGCATGGCGACCCGAGCATGCGGTGGACTCCCACCACCGCGGCTGTTGGAGGTCGGCCATATTGAGCAGCTCACCCTGTTCACGCAGCTTGATCTGCTGGATCTGGTCGATGGCATTGCGCAGGATGTGGCTCTTGTCCGGCTTGACGTTCAGGCTGGAGATGTCGCCCATATGCGCCGATAGCAGCTCCGCCAGCTCGGTGATGTAGCGGCTCTCCAGCTCCCGCCGCCGCTTCTCCGCGCTGGGAGAGACGGGCAGATGGAGGCACCACGGTCAGACGGGCACCACGATGAAAGACGTGCAGGTGGATGGGTAGCTTGGATTCAGTGTTATGGGGATTCTGGCAAAGGGGCGACGGACACAGGCCAGGATAGGGGGGGTTAAGACTGGGAATGCCGTCAGGGGGTGGGGCACAGGGGAGGGCCCTGGATGAATAAAAGTCAGACCCTGATTAATTATATATGCCACCCACATGGCCCTTTTAAACGCTAGGAAGCGAAGCGAGGGCGACGGGCACTCCACTGGAATATTGACTGGGATCTAACAGGGGGGCTCCATGAGGCCGTGTCCTGAAGCTCGAGAGCGCCCCCGGGAGGACACTTCGCACTGCGGGCCTGCACTGAGAGTGAGCCCCAGGAAGACGAGCTGCTAATATAGCGGAATGGCCTTCTCGTTATCCGACGGGCATCTTCCACACGTGAGACCCCCCCCCCCCCGATTGCTTTGCCTTTCATTGTTGTGTCCCATCAAATCCACAAACCGCAAAAACAAAACTGACTGAACATATTGAAGCTGGGTAGATGCAAAGAGGACTAGAAAGTTCTCCATGTCTGTGTAAGCAAGTGCCTGGCTGGTGTGCTCGCACATGCACGTGTGCGCGCCTAGTGCCTGTGTGCACGTGTGGGAGCTGGTCGCGGTGAAAGTAGGTCAGGGCGCTGCCAAGGCTGAGAGCCGGTGCAGAGTCGGGCGCTGCGTGGGGTTGCCGTGGAGACGGGCAGTGCGCAGGCGGTTACATCAGCCTGCGGAGGAGACAGCTTCGCTCAGGCAGATGGGCCGGCCTACCTTAGCGGGCCACTGCAGGCCTCCATGGGGACAAGGAAGGCACAGCCCAAACAGACAGGCACGCTTCTCTTTTGTACCATTTCTCCCAGGTTCACAGCTGATTTTGGACCTATGTTAAGTAGCGCCACAGAAACCCTGACGGAAAATGCCGCCTTCCAGATGGGGGAGGGGGGGTAGGGAGTCAAAACAGTCCCCATGGGGGGCATGAGCGAGAAAAAAAAATGTCTGCCTTACCTCAGGCCTGACGTGTCACACAGCGATCCTTTCCTCTTGCGGGACTCCGGGTGCACGGGGTCACGGGCACTCTCCCCTAGGGCACTCATCCTGAGGTATCACACACCTACAGGGCAGACATAGCGAAAAAGTGACGAGCGTGTCAGTCGTAGCCACCAGCAGGCAGCAGCAAGGGATCAAGTGACAAACAAGATCAGTTGGTAAGTTAATCTCAAAAGTTTAAAACAAACTGTAACAAAAGCAAGACATCTGTACACACACACACACACACACACACACACACACACAAAAACGCATCCTTTTCCATGCCTTTATGCTGCAGCAGCATCCAAGTATGGATGGGAGTTACAGGGGTCATAACCATAAAACGTGATGGGAATAATGCTTCATGTTACGCCTATTAGCGAGTTGCTTAGGAAACCATTTCAGTGACAGCTCACAGTTTGATCCCTCCTTTATATAAAGCTGGATTCCTTATGGCTTAAGGTAACAGCAGCCCCTCCTGTGCCTCACACCGGATTAACAACCTGATAGCGTTCAATGTCTCTTCTCCCTTAATCCCTGGTGTCAACTAATCATTCATTTGACAAGATAAATGACCACAAAACAGAGTCTGGCCACGACCACAAAATGCGATTCGGCGCCATGGCCCTCTTCGTTACTGACAAGGGTCTGGGGATGAGTGGGGAGGGGCTGGGGTCCAAATACCTAGCGCCAGGGGCCAGGGTGACCTGGGAACGGATGGCAACCTGCGATACATGGCTCCTGCGAAGCCCCATCATGTCTCGTTCGTGCAGAGACTCTGCGCGAGCATGGCGCACACCTGCCGTCTTGGCGGGAACCATAGCAACAAGACTTAGTGAAGCACGAGCTCTGTTAGCAGAAAACCATCACCACTGCTGCAGTGACAGCCCAAGTGTCAGCGAATGCCCATGAAGCCTAACCTGTCACAGGCCACGGAAGATAAAATAGCACAAAAATCACCTTAGAGGCCCCTCCGTCCACCTTTGCTATTCTGGTGATAATGAACGACAGAGAGGCCTCAGTCCACCGAAGCCCAGGGTTATAACATCACCAAGCACCTCTAAGGTTTCAGCACTACTTTCAGCAACAGTGCCCCCTCCAGTAAAATGGGAGGGGGGGGGGGGGGGGGGGCGGGGGGGGGGGGGGGGGGGGTGGGACTGCAGGACTCTATAACCCCTGCAGCTTAATGCTCAGGTGCAAATTGTTTCCTCATATTATTATTCATTTTGTCACTGGTGATTATTCTGTGCATTAGCCAGAACAAGACATGCAATACCCCATGTAGAAAGCCCCTTACGACAGCTAGGAGACACTGCGACACAAACGAGTTTCCCCATTGCCTCTATGGCCGTGTACAACACCTATAATTTGTAAAAAAACGGCGCCAAACATGTCGGGGCAACAGCCAGAGAGACAAAAGACGGTACCTCGAGGGCTGAGACTGTGGAGCCAATGTCACATGACACACAGACGCGGTGCAGCGAGCAGCTCAGCTCCACCAGGTCTGCCCCCGACCACCAACCCACTCAAGGCTGGTGGGTCATTCATTTACCACCTTGAGGAGCCAACCAATAAAAGTATCCCCAAGGTTGATCATTTCCCAGCTGGGAAAGGGGGCACTGAGTTCAGCCTTCCTTGTTGTCAAGGTGAGTCTTTTGGAATGAGTGGGGATTGTGAGTGACATCCTCAAATACCATAAAGTCACAAATCGCACCATGATACGAACACTGCTCTCAGGTGCAAGAACAGAAGAGCAAAAGAGACTCCCCCAGCTGTAGGGGGTGTGGTAGGCTGAGGGCATTGCTAACAATGTAATAGTACAGCCACACAGAGACCTGCTGGGGATGGTGCAGGGACTGCAAGAGCAGCACCTTGGCACTGACCAAGCCTGGCAATGCTGTCACATGCCACAGACACCCACATACCAGTAACCATGGAGGGGAGAAAACTAGTGCCCAGATGCACACAAATGACGTGTGGTCACAAACACATTAATCCACGTACAAGCACACAGACACACACAAAAGCATCGAAAGGCAGACAGCCGTGTCAAGAAGCGGGTACGAATGCTAAGTATAGGTGCCTTGCGAGCTTCTCCAGCTCCCCGCATCATTCCTGCCGCTTGCTGCCATCAGGGGTCTTCAAAGCAGTCTGCAGTCTGTGCTTGATTTTTCTTTAACATAATTAAGGACATAGATCAAATTACTTGAAATATGCCACAAAACACCCAAAGTTTTTGTAATGCCATTATAAAATTCTCCTGTAATTGGGATGCATTAATCACTGTGCCTGGTAACTTCATCGGAACCTTTATGAAACTGTCATATGTACCATGTGAAAAGGCCGAGTTATGGTTGTTATTCCACAGCTGTACTGCATTCACATGCAAGTGTCACATAGTACTGAGCAACCACAAATGTCTTTGCAACAAGCCTTTAAGCAGCCCAACAGTTTGAAAAATCAGGTAAAACGGTGCTGGTTCCACTACAGCATCACAGGATTCGGGCAGAAATCACAGCAGACTATAAAATTGATTATTATGCATCAGAGCACATTAGTATTTTGTGTATTGTCTTTTTTTTTAACAAAAAAGGGGAAAAGCTGTAAAAGAACCTAAGGATAAAAAAAAAAAAAAAAAAAAAAAAAAACAGAAGATGGCCAGTCTGCTCTATTTTTCAGAAGAACTGCACGGTCACATAAAAATCCACATTCAGACCATAGCCACACGTGAATCACATGGTCTGACAGACCAGAACCACGGTATCCTTAGGATCAGCTAAACCTTGCAATAATTCAAAAGTCACATTCTGCACTGCTTTATAAAGCTCAGACTGAGGTGGGAGTACCGGCTTAAAAAGCATACTAAGCACGGACATAGACATATGCACGCACGCACGCACGCACGCACGCACTCACACAGACGTCAACAGAAACTACGCTAATCTTTAAGCAAAACCACACGCAATCACTCGCTCCACCTACACCTCGAGCCAAGCAGAAAGCTTTGCTTCATAATTAGCATACATGTGCACGTAGACACAGTCGCTCCTGGACAGGGGCTCTGCCTCACAAAGGCCCCCTACCTTGCATCCACCCCCAATGTAGTCCAATACTTTAAGGAAGGAGGGGAGAAAGAAGCACAAAAGGAGAGGAAGAAAAGGACTCGCATGCAAGGACACCTGAAAGAGTTTCTCCCGTGAGGCTGAGCGGCTGCAGTAATGCTCTTGGGGGGGGGG